AAAAAAACATAATTTATAATAAAAACATTATTATAAGCTTAAATTAATATTTTAAGCATTTATGTATGTATATGTAATAAAAACACTGTACTTTCCTAGTCGTCTCTAATGTATGCAACATTGTTAATGGGTAACAGGACTAAAAGTTCAAGATGTGCAACATAAATTTACAGGACGGGGGCGGCTGATTAAGAATAGGCGGGCTACGGTCAGGACAAAGGGGGAAAACTACGGGAAAGGAAGGCGAGAAAGCGAGCGAGCGAGCAGCGAGCGAGCGAGCGAGCGAGCGAGCGAGCGAGCAAAGCGGACGAGAGAGGAGCAGCGAGCGTAGGCGAGCGAGCGAGCGAGCAGCGAGCGGGCGAGCGAGCGAGCGAGGAGCAGCGAGGAGCTAGCGATGCGAGCGAGGCGATCGAGCTATCTAGCGAGCGAGCGCGCGAGGAGCGAGCGATCTAGCGAGCGAGCGACGAGCGATCGAGCGAGGCGAGCGAGGATCGATCGAATCTATCTATCGATACTAATATCTATCGATCTATCTATCTATCTATCTATCTATCTATCTATCTATCTATCTATATTATCTATCTATCTATCATCTCCTACTATCTATCTATATATCTATCTATCTATTCTATCTATCTATCTATTCTTTATCATCGATCTGTCTACTCTGTCTATCTATCTATCTATCTATCTATCATCTATCTATATATCTATCTATCTATCTATCTATCTATCTATCTATCTATCTATCTATCTATATTAAGCTATCTATCTATCTATCTAGCTATCTATCTATCTATCTACTATCTATCTATCTATCTAGCGGTCTTTCTATCTATCTTCTATCTAGCTATTATCTATCACTATCTATTTCGTTAATAAGTTTTCGGGTGTTCGGCACACGGGGGGCTTCTATTTCCTTATATGTTTATAGTTAGTAAAATATTTGAAGGTCGCTTATTGGAACTCAAGGGATAACCTTTATTTGCATTCATTCAAATAAATTTCTTATTTAACAAAAATGTTTATGGCATTTTTACACATACAGCCCCATTTAAGACTCCCTTCAACAATACATGCAGAAATGTTGCGCTGTAAACCCAGCAAACATCGATGTTACTAGTAGTTTATAAGAAATCCTTAATTTAACCTTGAAATTTTAAGAATACTTTGGTTATTACGTTCGATATCAAATTATAAGTCTTATTGACCACTCTTTTTAAGTCTTGAAAATTTTGTAGGATGAAAATTCCTTAATTATTGAAACGTTTCAATTTGTGTTTGCTGGGTATTTGGTATTGCTGTAGTGTGTTTTGTATTTTAACTAAGTATTAGTTAAACAAAAGAAATGCTAAACTGTTGGCAAAAAAAATGGTAATTTATAATAAATGCGACAAGCGTCAAGCTACATAAAATTGCCATGACCTGTTAATAACTAAAAAAGCAAACCTACCTTTCGTTCGTTGTATAAAATTATTGCAAAAAGAGAGTAATAAATATTATTTTGAATTTAAAATTTTTAGCTTCTTTTCTGTTTAGTCATTTGATAAACATTTTAAGATTTTCGAGATATTAGAGAACCGATGGATTTCGGGAATAGTAATTATCTTACTTAAAATTTGTTCGCTGCTCATCCTTTTCGAGCATTTTACAAATACCCTATTTATCTATAACAGAAAAAAACACAAGAAAAGTATAAAATTGCAGGGAAAAGATGAGTACACGTTTTTTGTATAAAAGAAAAAAATTGCAACAAAACACACTCATGCACACGCACACTTACTACACAAAATTATGGGTCCTTGTTACTGCCGAGAGAAAATTAGCAAAAAATAAAAACTCTAAGAGCGACAGTGTGTGAACGACGACATGAATGCCAAAAGACGCCGATTGGTAAAAGGATAACTTGCTATAGGAAGAAAAATCTTAAAATTAAATGTTTTGTTTGGTTAGCTTTTCTTTTTCTTTACTCTTGGTTTATGTTAATAGTTTTAGAATTAGTAATAAAAACAGATGGTAAAATAAAAAAACAACGATATTAGCGGATTTAGTTAGTTAGTTAGTTAGTTAGTCAGTTAGTTAGTAGTTAGTTAGTTAGTTAGTTAGTTAGTTAGTTAGTTAGTTAGTTAGTAGTAGTTAGTTAGTTAGTTAGTTAGTTAGTTAGTTAGTAGTAGTTAGTTAGTTAGTTAGTTAGTTAGTTAGTTAGTTAGTTAGTTAGTTAGTTAGTTAGTTAGTTAGTTAGTAGTTAGTTAGTTAGTTAGTTAGTTAGTTAGTTAGTTAGTTAGTTAGTTAGTTAGTTAGTTAGTTAGTTAGTTAGTTAGTTAGTTAGTTAGTTAGTAGTTAGTTAGTTAGTTAGTTAGTTAGTTAGTTAGTTAGTTAGGTTAATTATAATATTTATTTTCAGAGCGATTTGTCGATTGGCTCGTTTTTGCAGGTTATTTTTTATGACGTCATTTCGTTAGTTACGCTAACGAGCTAATTTGTTTGTTTATTACCTGCAAATTTTAAAATAAAGAACATATTTTTTGAGGTTTTTATCTAATTTTAGATTTTTAATTAAAACAAATTATTTTTAGTTATGTTTACAAATTTTATTTAAATATTTTAACTGAGTAATAATAATAATCGTAATAATTGTTTTAAATTAAAGTAAAAAAGTAATTTCTACATAAAATGAAATAAATAATAATAAAGTGTTGGAAATTATAAAATTTTTAGAGGCGTTGATTTAAATTTAACAAAATATTTACTTTTAAAAGCCATTTAAATTTTAAACTAGAGATTTAAACCAAATAATTTAAATATTAGTAACATTAATTTAATAGTTTAATGTGATTTAATTAAAAAGACTAATTAGTTTTAAATAAGTTTTATATAATATAAAATTTTAAATAAATTTTTATAACAGCCAAAATAAATTAGTCTGCAGAGATTAAAGACAGGGAGTGTTAGTTTAAAAGGGAATCATTTTATTTTGCTGTTGTTTATGATCAATAATAGTAATATTTTTTATTGAATACGGATCATATTCTTTCAATTGCTATTTTTGTTTTATAAAAAAGCTGTAAAAGCTTTGAAAACTCTTACAAATTCCTGAATTTTTGAAATTTTCTTTCATAACTTTTAGTTTTGTAAAACATTAATTCATGTTTGACTTGTGATCTTTAAGCTATTGAGAGCTTTAACAATTTTCCAATATAATCTCGCTTTGAAAATTCTCTAATATTTTAACAATCATAATTCTTGCAAGTCAAATAAATCATTTTCCGGCAACTTAAGAACTCAACTTAAAATACCTAAAATAGAAAATATTTTCAACAGATTGGTATCTTTGTGGCAATTAGTTATTCACGCTTTACTTTTAAAGTAAAATAGAAGTAAAATCTAAATGAAACAAACTGCAAATAGAAGAATCAAAGTTTTTTTTTTTTTTCAACTATAATTGCATATTGGTCTTGAAACCATTTTTACAATAACAAAATATATACTAAAACAAATAAAAAGAGCAGAGAGGAGACAAAAACTAAAAACTGCTTTCTCAGATTTTGCAATTAAATAGGGGATTAATATGTATAACGAAAAATATAATAATTCTTAAAAGTTTTTTTCTGTTTTAGTTTTTCTTTTTTTAGGTAGAGAGTTGGTGGGGAAGATGATGTTAAAGGTTTGCTGGGTTGGTTGGAGAGTGAAATGTGTTTTACAGCCAAAATGAGTAAAAATTATAAAATAAAACATAAAATTCTAGTGAAATTAATATAAATTTCAATTTAGCCTTAAGACTACAATTTAAAGACATGCACTGCACTTTTCTTTCATTTCCTACAACTACAAAAACTGAGAAGAAGAAAAACTATTATAGCAACAAAACCATTGTGTAGAGCTCGACATTGTATGTATGTATATGTAATATTTTTGTAAACTCTTACATACTTTATATACAGAGACATATTTGTTATTTTGAGTATTAGGATGGTCACAAAAAAAATTGTTCATGATGTCTTTCAAATTTGAAATTTTAAAAAATTTCTATATAAAAATTTGTTATAAATATGTATTTCCCTTAAAAAAGGAAAAAATTAAGAAAATTTAAACAAAAATTTTTCATTTTAAAGAATATTTTTCCAAAAATGTCTCTTTTTATAGAAAAATTTTCAAAAATTTCTCTTTTTATAGAAAATTTTTCAAAAATTTATATTTTTAATAGAAAATTTTAAAAATATTTCTCTTTTTAAAAAAAGTTTCCAAAAATTTCTCTTTTTATAGAAAATTTTCCAAAAATTTCTCTTTTTATAGAAAATTTTCCAAAAATTTCTCTTTTTATAGAAAATTTTTCAAAAATCTCCTTTTTATAATTTTTTTCCAAAATTTCTGTTTTTATAGAAATTATTTTCGAAAAATTATAATTTTATAACAAATTTTTCAAAAATCTCTCTTTTAAAGAAAATTTATCAAAAATATCTCTTTTTATAGAAAATTTTTAAAAACTTTCTTATTTTATAGACAATTTTGCAAAAAATTTATATTTTTAAAGAATATTTTTTTAAAAATTGCTCTTTTTAAAGAAATATTTTTGATTCACTTTTTATAGAAAATTTTTCAAAAATTTCTCTTTTTATAGAAAATTTATAAAAAATTTCACTTTTTATAGAAAACTTATCAAAAATGTTACTTATTACAGAAAATTTTAAAATTTTTTTTATTTTAGAGAAAATTTTTTAAAAGTTTCAGTTTTTATAAAAAAATTTTAAAAATGTATCTTTTAATAGAAAATTTTTTAAATATTTAACTTTTTATAGAAAATTTCTCAAAAATTTCAGTTTTTAAAGAAAATTTTCAAAAATTTCAGTTTTTATAAAAAATTTTCAAAAAATTTCCCCTTTTATAGAAAATTTTTTTAAAATGTATATTTTTATAGAAAAGTTTTGATAACATTTTTCAAAAATTTTAAATTTTCTTTCTATTTGTGGAAAATTTTTTCGAAATAATTGTCTTTTTTCTTCAAAACATTCTTTTTATAGAAATTTTATTCGAAAAATTTCCTTTTAATATTAAATTTTTAAAAATTTCTTATTTTTGTAGAAAATTCCTGTTTTTTTAAAAAATGTTCGAACAGAATTTAAGTTAAAAACATTAACATTTTCTTTTTCCACAGGACCATAGTAACACTCACACACAATTTACATAAATATCGCGTAAGTAAGTATACCCATACATTATAATTTTTCATTATGTTGAGTTTTTTTTCTGCTTTTGGGTGGTGATGGTGATGTTGATAATTTTTAGCTGTTGTTAGTGTTGTTATAGACTTTGTAACATCTTGTTGTAGACTTTAATATGATGAAATTCCTTGAAGGCATCGCGAAAACGTACTTTTTGTTCATTGCCCAATTTTGCATAGAAATCCTGAGCAGATGTCACGAACAATGCAATTTCGTGATGACCCAATTTTTCACAATTCATTCTTGTATTATTTGCTGATGATGTTGTTGGTGTTTTACTAGTTGCTGCTGCTGCTGTCGTTGTTGTTACTGTTACAGATGTTGTTGGTGTTGGTATGCCACTCAACAGCAACGGAAATAGTTTCATTAAATGAAGATTTATAGAAGCCGAAAGAAATACAACACTCAGACTCCAGACTGCTTTCTGTTCGGGCAACGCTAAAAACGTGGGCAATGAGCAGGTGAGCCAATCTTGTAATTGTTGTAAAAATGAAGAATCAATGGCCGAGCGGAAAACCTGTTGGAGAAAAGTATTTCAAAAGAAAAAAAACAAAAAATGAAGATTAAAGCAAGAACATGTACGTACGTAACACGCAGTATAATAAGAGTAAAATGTACATAATTACAAGTTATTTTTAATTACTATAAAGCAGAGAGTCTTAAAAATACGTTAAATTTAAATTTTTTTAATTTTGCTACTTACAAACTTGAGCCAAGATTTTATGTAAACTATTTTTTTAACTTAAATTTATAAACATTTTAAACTCTATAACAGTTAGTGATCATCTGCTTTTTTGTAATATTACCATAATACTCTTAAAATTTTACAGCAATATTTTTCTTTAATAAATATGACGTCGTTTCGTTTAATACGTATAAAATTATCTTTATAAATAAAACTAAATAACTATGATTATGGCAGACATACCTGAAATACAATCATGGCAATAACATCGCTGTGTGGTTGATTTATTGCTAAGAACTCCTTTATGACCTTCGTCAATATTTCTTTAGGTGGCACTAAATCACGTATCATTTGGCACAATACTTGCCCATAAATCCAAGCCGCTTCTTCAGTTGCGGTTTTAATGCATTGCAGCAAAATATCAACTTTATCAGTTTGTTGGGCGATTATCTCCGGGTCGTCTTGTACAATGCCATTACTTAATTCTGTATTTTCCAATTGTTTTGCCGAACCTATACATACACACGCATAAATATATACATAAATAGAAAATATATATTTGTATGTAAATGTATGTATTTTATATATTATATATTTTCTATATAGAGTTTGATTCGAAATAAAGGTAATTTGTATTTTCAAATATCCTAGTAAATAGTAATTGTTATAATAAAGTTAAATTATTGTATGTACATGTAGTTAAATACATCTATTTATACAAATACACACAAATCACTCCCACACATTTACACTACCACATAACAATAAATATAATCGCATTATAAACTTATTGTTAAATTTGTGGCGGTAAATCGTGGCACAACAATTATAAACAAAAACCAATCAAACAAACAATTGTTTACTTTGTACTTAGCAGCAGAGTATTTAAGGACTGTAAGCGTGTAGAAAATGGAAAACCTAATTAATTTATTAAATGCTAAAGATGTATGTGTGTGTATATTTAACAGAAACAGGAAAATCATTTAAAGAAAACTCAGTTCAAATTTAATTTGAAAATTTAAAAATGTTTTAAGATGTTCTTAAACTTACATTTGTAATACAGGGGATTGACTTTTAGTAACAAGTAACCACCGGATTTCCATTCCACAGGTATGGAAGTGTTGTTTGGTGGCTCATCATATTGGAAAGTGTTCTACTTACTCTGTTGAACCGAAGGTCGTGGGTACGATTCCCTAACTTCTTCTTTCAGGCATCCTACACCGGGAAAAACCTAAAGAACAACGAACGAACGAAACGAACGAACGAAGAACGAAGAAAGAACGAAACGAACGAACGAACGAACGAAAGAAACGAACGAACGAACGAACGAAGAACGAACGAAAGAACGAACGAACAACGAACGAAGAACGAACAAGACGAAACGAAAGAACGAAGAACGAACGAAAAAACGAACGAACGAACGAACGAAACGAAAAACGAACGAAGAACGAACGAAACGAACGAACGAACGAACACGAACGAAAGAACGAAACGAACGAAACGAACGAACGAGGGAACGAACGAACGAACAAACGAACAACGAAGAAGGAAGGACGAACGGACGAACGAACGAACGAACGAACGAAGAACGAACGAACGAACGAACGAACGAACGAAGGAACGGACGAACGGACGAACGAACGAAAGAACGAACGAACGAACGAACGAACGAACGAACGAACGAACGAGACGAACGAACGAACGAACGAACGAACGAACGAACGAAAACGAACGAACGAACGAAACGAACGACGAGCGAGCGAGCGAGCGAGCGAGCGAGAGCGAGCGAGCGAGCGAGCGAGCGAGCGAGCGAGCGAGCGAGGAGCGAGCGAGCGAGCGAGCGAGAGAGAGCGAGCGAGCGAGAGCGAGCGAGCGAGGAGCGAGCGAGCGAGCGAGCGAGGCGAGCGAGCGAGCGAGCGAGGAGCGAGCGAGCGAGCGAGCGAGCGAGCGAGCTGAGCGAGCGAGAGAGCGAGCGAGCGAGGAGAGAGCGAGCGAGCGAGCTAGAGCGAGCGAGCGAGCGAGCGAGCGAGCGAGCGAGCGAGCGAGCTGAGCGAGCGAGCGAGCGAGCGAGCGAGCGATATAGATCGATCTATCTATCTACCTATATATCTATCATCTATCTATCTATCTATCTATCTATCTATCATCTATCTATCTATCTATCTATCTATCTATCTATCTATCTATCTATCTCAAGATTTTACCCCTACATATATTTGGACTTTAGTAGTTGGTGGTATATAAATTAATCATAACTTATACGAATAGTCTCAGAAGATCAATATTCCTTTAAGACTTAATAAATCTATCAACAAGCACTATTAGAGTTATGGAATAGTAATTTAGTTTAATTCCCCGAAAAATATATAAACAAAACTTCTTAAGTTATCTCTTCGTTTTGACTTTAAAATCCCTTTATATTTTTTTAACAAAAATTTAAATTGAATAACATGCAAAACAAAAAATATTAATTCCAATTATCCAAAAGAGAAAAAACAAAAACACTAAACAAATTTGCCGATTTTCTTAGCAAAAACAACAAAAAATATATATATAAACTCCAAAAAATAATAATAAAATGTAATGAATAAACATAGAAAAATCAACACACAATCCTCAAATCAATAGATTTTTAATAAAAAAAAAAGAAAAAAAACAAAATGGAAATACAGAGCCATTATATGAAATCCTTTTTTTAACATTTAGACACACAAAACAAACAAAAATACACACATCCTTTCATTTCAACATACATCTGTAACAGATAAAAATGCTAAAAAAAAATTACATACATATGTATGTTTGTATAGAGAAAATATTTGTAATACTTACCCACATAAATGCAGGACAATAGTAATTTCAAAGCGGGAATTGAAAACTTTTCGTTTTCCAATTTAGCCAATTCAAGAGCAAGTTTTTCGATGCAGGGCCGCAACATTTGGTTTTGATTGTCTGCACCATGGCTGATGGTGGCGACACCACTACTACCGGTGCTACTATTGCTGCTAACTTTATTATCAAGGACAATCATACGTTCCAAACCCTATGGAGAAACAAACATTTATTTATTTATATATTGGGTATATGTATGGAGTGCAAATAAAAAAATTATACAAAAATATTTGTAAGTATGTAATGTATTTTTTGGGTTTTAACTATATATTTGTTGTTGCCTTTTTCTACTGTTTGCATTGCTTTTTGGTTGGAGGGTACTTTTTAGTCAGTACCAAAAAATAACCAAAACCACATGCAAACAAACAGCTGAATCTATCCCGTAATGTTGCAAGGAGTTAATGTATCGCTTTTATATAGAAATTTTTCCTAATTGTCTAACGACTTTGTAAGAGAATGATTATTATGATTAATTTGTCACTTTAGTGTTCTCAAGTAATCTAAGAAGAAGTTTGAAAGGAGTTTGTAGATGACATCATTAAACCACTGTTGGGCCTGTTGTGCGTTCATTGGAGATCAACAATATCATTTGGAGATCGAACCTTCAATCTCCAGAGTGAAAGACTAGAACACTAACCTGCTATAGGCTCCCTAAGATTTCCTCTAAGAAAGTTAAAACTAGAAGTAATCCTGAAGCCATTGTAGCTGTAAATCGAATTCCTTTTAGGACAAGTATATATTGAAATCACTAGACACTTAATAGACAAAAATCATAAGTTTGAAACCTCCCCTCCGAACTACAGGAAACCTACAAATACGATTGAGTATATGTTTGTTTGAAAATGAAAATAAAACAAATTAAGATAATAACAATAAAAATAAAAATAACAATTCCAATTGCAATTGAAAGTACATTCGTAAGTGTAAAACCAGTCAGTATAATACCAAAAACAATAACTATATACATACATATATGTACTAGTATGTACAACAATCGAAAAGCTAAGAGTTGCCATAACAAACTGTTATAGAACAATGGGGATTATGGATATTGTAAGTGTATATTGAAAACAATATACAGATTTTGAAAATCAAATAATAACTAGACATTTTTATAGGTTTTTTTTCTTGAGTTTTCAATTGAAATAAAAGTAAAATAACAACTAAACGATTTGATTGTAATCTGCTGGGAGGTCAAAGTTATTGTGTGGGTTTTTTTAGTCAAACATTTTAGTAGCTGCTTCAATATAAACAGTACAAAGTCATAAGTAGTACATACAAATAAAAATCGAATTGCATCAACGTTGGATACCGAAATTAAGCTAAACTGTAGGTTATAAAACCTCTAATAAGTTGATTGAGTTCTAGTCTGTCTGTCTAGAGATCGTGGGTTTGACTCTCACCAGAGACTGGTAAAGAAGCTCACTAAAGACCGTACATTGGCCTAGAAGTATTTCTTGGGATGAGATGTTATAAACATCCTCCTTTTAAACTAACTTATTGGCATCTCCTTTATCTGAAAATACAAATCCAGCAGCTAGGATTTGTATTTTCATTTACTTTTTTAAAAAAACAAACCAAATCAAAAATTGTTAGGGTTGTTTTATAATACAGTTTGTAACACTCATTTGAAATTTGATTAACAAACTAATAAAAGATTCAGTTTTTTTTATATTCTTTTCCCTTTGTAGATTTTTCTAGCAATAATATAAAATGAATTTTAAATTAAGGACTTGTTGGTCTGGTTAAAACTTACATGCAAACAACAGAGGTAGACTTGTTCATTGCTGGAATTTTTCAATAATTTCATTACACTCAATTTAGTATGATAAGCTAAATTGCATTGAGGATCTAGTTTTGAAGTCCATTCCATTAAACAATAGTTTAAAGTCCATATTAATTTTGTATGTACATCACTACATATTAAGGGGCTGAAAAGAAAATAAGAAATGCAAAAACATTTTCTTCAATTAATTCTCCAGTAAGATAAAAAAACGTTATTGTTTTAAACATGTTTACACCTACATATGCATGTAAGCACAATTATTTTCTCTTTTATCCTTAAACTAATAACAAAGAAATATCCCTTAAAATAAAAAAAAAAAAAAAAACTCTCAACATTTTCTCTCTTACCTTTCTTCAATTAAACCATGTTTATCGATGTATGCCAAAACAATATCCTTCAATCTCACCAACTCATCACTTAATTTGCCAATTGTTGTACTGGTCTTTGCATAACTTTCCAATAGACTTAACAGCCCATTGAGGGCAGCACATCTTATAAAAAGATGTGATGATTTTAAGTAATTTTTAATTAAAGCTTCCAAATTTAACATCTCCAAATGGGAGGGTATTAACATGCCTTTAGTCTTGCACAGCAAATAGATTAAATGTTGATGTGAGATCGTATCGTCCATCGGTATGTGAGACTTTAAATAGTCAGCCTTTTCCCAGATTTGTTTAATCTGTTCACGATTTTCGCAAATTTCAGTGAATTTCACTAAATTTGGTAGTATTAAAATGTGGTTTTGCTACAAAGGAAACGTAACGAAAAGATGAAATAAAAAGAAAATGAATTAAATAAAAACAAAAAGGAAGAAGAACAGACACAGACACACATACAAATATTCTTACTTTTGCATTTTTCAAAAATAAGAAAAAATATAATGGGGAGAAAAAAAATAACAGTAGAAAATTGTTATTCTTTTGTAAAGTCTTTTATAATATTCAACCATGTATAGAAAATATTCTTACACTCACACCTACTTATACACTTGTGTTAACATACGATTTTTGTAGGAAAAGGGAGTTCGTATATAGACTACAGTCCTAGAAGCTACGATAGACTGGTATTCACTATAGAGTAAACTAAAGAATAAAGTATAGTACCGACTTCAGACCAAACTATTCTATAGACTAGACTATAGACTAGACTATAAACTAGACTATAGACTAGACTATAGACTAGACTATAGACTAGACTATAGACTAGACTATAGACTAGACTATAGACTAGACTATAGACAGACTATATACTAGACTATAGACTTGACTATAGACTAGACTATAGACTAGACTATAGACTAGACTATAGACTAGACTATAGACTAGACTATAGACTAGACTATAGACTAGACTATGGACTAGTCTATAGACTAGACTAAGACTAGACTATAGACTAGACTATAGACTAGACTATAGACTTGACTATAGACTAGACTATAGACTAGACTATAGACTAGGACTATAGACTAGACTATAGACTAGACTATAGACTAGACTATAGACTAGACTATAGACTAGACTATAGACTAGACTATAGGACTAGACTATAGACTAGACTATAGACTAGACTATAGACTAGACTATAGACTAGACTATAGACTAGACTATAGACTAGACCATAGACTAGACTATAGACTAGACTATAGAATAGACTATAGACTAGACTATAGACTAGACTATAGACTAGACTATAGACTAGACTGTAGACTAGACTATAGACTAGACTATAGACTAGACTATAGACTAGACTATAGACTAGACTATAGACTAGACTATAGACTAGACTATAGACTAGACTATAGACTAGACTATAGACTAGACTATAGACTAGACTATAGACTAGACTATAGACTAGACTATAGACTAGACTATAGACTAGACTATAGACTAGACTATAGACTAGACTATAGACTAGACTATAGACTAGACTATAGACTAGATTATAGACTAGACTATAGACTAGACTATAGACTAGACTATAGACTAGACTATAGACTAGACTATAGACAAGACTATAGACTAGACTATAGACAAGACTATAGACTAGACTATAGACTAGACTATAGACTAGACTATAGACTAGACTATAGACTAGACTATAGACTTGACTATAGACTAGACTATAGACTAGACTATAGACTAGACTATAGACTAGACTATAGACTAGACTATAGACTAGACTATAGACTAGACTATAGACTAGACTATAGACTAGACTATAGACTAGACTATAGACTAGACTATAGACTAGACTATAGACTAGACTATAGACTAGACTATAGACTAGACTATAGACTAGACTATAGACTAGACTATAGACTAGACTATAGACTAGACTATAGACTAGACTATAGACTAGACTATAGACTAGACTATAGACTAGACTATAGACTAGAGTATAGACTAGAGTATAGACTAGACTATAGACTAGACTATAGACTAGACTATAGACTAGAGTATAGACTAGAGTATAGACTAGACTATAGACTAGACTATAGACTAGACTATAGACTAGACTATAGACTAGACTATAGACTAGACTATAGACTAGACTATAGACTAGACTATAGACTAGACTATAGACTAGACTATAGACTAGACTATAGACTAGACTATAGACTAGACTATAGACTAGACTATAGACTAGATTATAGACTAGACTAGACTATAGATAGACATAGACTAGACTATAGACTAGACTATAGACTAGACTATAGACTAGACTATAGACTAGACTATAGACTAGACTAAGACTAGACTATAGACTAGACTATAGACTAGACTATAGACTAGACTATAGACTAGACTATAGACTAGACTTATAGACTAGGACTATAGGACTAGACTATAGGATAGACTATCGACTAAGACTATAGACTAGACTATAGACCAAGCCTATAGACTAGACTATAGACTAAGACTATAGACTAGACTATAGCCTAGACTATAGACTAGACTATAGACTATGCTATAGACTAGACTATAAGACTTGACTATAGGACTAGACTATAGACTAGACTATAGACTTAGCCTATAGACTAGACTATAGACTAGACTATAGACTAGACTATAGACTAGACTATTAGACCTAGACTATAGACTAGACTATAGACTAGCTATAGACTAGGACTAAGTGTACTAGACTATAGACTAGACTATAGAAGACTCTAAGACTATGACTAAGACTCGACTATAGGACTAGGACTTTCGACTAGACTATAGACTAGACTATAGACTAGATATAGACTAGACTATAGACTAGACTATAGACTAGACTATAGACTAGACTATAGACTAGACTATAGACTAGACTATAGACTAGACTATAGACTAGACTATAGACTAGACTATAGACTAGACTATAGACTAGACTATAGACTAGAGTATAGACTAGAGTATAGACTAGACTATAGACTAGACTATAGACTAGACTATAGACTAGAGTATAGACTAGAGTATAGACTAGACTATAGACTAGACTATAGACTAGACTATAGACTAGACTATAGACTAGACTATAGACTAGACTATAGACTAGACTATAGACTAGACTATAGACTAGACTATAGACTAGACTATAGACTAGACTATAGACTAGACTATAGACTAGACTATAGACTAGATTATAGACTAGACTAGACTATAGACTAGATTATAGACTAGACTAGACTATAGACTAGACTAGACTAGACGACTAGACTAGACTAGACTAGACTATAGACTAGACTAGACTAGACTAGACTAGACTAGACTAGACTAGACTAGACTAGACTAGACTAGACTATAGACTAGACTAGACAGACTAGACTATAGACTAGACTATAGACTAGACTATAGACTAGACTATAGACTAGACATAGACTAGACTATAGACTAGACTATAGACTAGACTATAGGACTAGACTATAGACTAGACTATAGACTAGACTATAGACTAGACTATAGACTAGACTATAGACTAGACTATAGACTAGACATAGACTAGACTATAGACTAGGACTATAGACTAGGACTATAGACTAGACTCTAGACTGACTATAGACTAGACCTATAGACTAGGACTATAGACTAGACTATAGACTAGACTATAGACTGACTATAGACTAGACTATAGACTAGACTATAGACTAGACTATAGACTAGACTATAGACTAGACTTCTAGACTAGACTATAGACTAGACTATAGACTAGACTATAGACTAGACTATAGACTAGACTATAGACTAGACTATAGACTAGACTATAGACTAGACTATAGACTAGACTATAGACTAGACTAGACTATAGACTAGACTATAGACTAGACTATAGACTAGACTATAGACTAGATTATAGACTAGACTATAGACTAGACTATAGACTAGACTATAGACTAGACTATAGACTAGACTATAGACAAGACTATAGACTAGACTATAGACAAGACTATAGACTAGACTATAGACTAGACTATAGACTAGACTATAGACTAGACTATAGACTTGACTATAGACTAGACTATAGACTAGACTATAGACTAGACTATAGACTAGACTATAGACTAGACTATAGACTAGACTATAGACTAGACTATAGACTAGACTATAGACTAGACTATAGACTAGACTATAGACTAGACTATAGACTAGACTATAGACTAGACTATAGATTAGACTATAGACTAGACTATAGACTAGACTATAGACTAGACTATAGACTAGACTATAGACTAGACTATAGACTAGACTATAGACTAGACTATAGACTAGACTATAGACTAGACTATAGACTAGACTATAGACTAGAGTATAGACTAGAGTATAGACTAGACTATAGACTAGACTATAGACTAGACTATAGACTAGACTATAGACTAGACTATAGACTAGACTATAGACTAGACTATAGACTAGACTATAGACTAGACTATAGACTAGACTATAGACTAGACTATAGACTAGACTATAGACTAGACTATAGACTAGACTATAGACTAGACTATAGACTAGACTATAGACTAGACTATAGACTAGACTATAGACTAGACTATAGACTAGACTATAGACTAGACTATAGACTAGACTATAGACTAGACTATAGACTAGACTATAGACTAGACTATAGACTAGACTATAGACTAGACTATAGACTAGACTATAGACTAGACTATAGACTAGACTATAGACTAGACTATAGACTAGACTATAGACTAGACTATAGACTAGACTATAGACTAGACTATAGACTAGATTATAGATAGATAGACTATAGACTAGACTAGACTAGACTAGACTAGACTAGACTAGACTAGACTAGACTATAGACTAGACTAGACTAAAGACTAGACTATAGACTAGACTAGACTATAGACTAGACTAGACTATAGACTAGACTATAGACTATACTATAGACTAGACTATAGACTAGACTATAGACTAGACTATAGACTAGACTATAGACTAGACTATAGACTAGACTATAGACTAGACTATAGACTAGACTATAGACTAGACTATAGACTAGACTATAGACTAGACTATAGACTAGACTAGACTATAGACTAGACTATAGACTAGACTATAGACTAGACTAGACTAGACTATAGACTAGACTATAGACTAGACTATAGACTATAGACTATACTAGACTAGACTATAGACTAGACTATGGATTAGACTATAGACTAGACTATGGACTAGACTATAGACTAGACTATAGACTAGACTATAGACTTGACTATAGACTAGACTATAGACTAGACTATAGACTAGACTATAGACTAGACTATAGACTAGACTATAGACTAGACTATAGACTAGACTATAGACTAGACTATAGACTAGACTATAGACTAGACTATAGACTAGACTATAGACTAGACTATAGACTAGACTATAGACTAGACTATAGACTAGACTATAGACTAGACTATAGACTAGACTATAGACTAGACTATAGACTAAGACTAGACTATAGACTAGACTATAGACTAGACTATAGACTAGACTATAGACTAGACTATAGACTAGACTATAGACTAGACTATAGACTAGACTATAGACTAGACTATAGACTAGACTATAGAATAGACTATAGACTAGACTATAGACTAGACTATAGACTAGACTATAGACTAGACTATAGACTAGACTATAGACTAGACTATAGACTAGACTATAGACTAGACTATAGACTAGACTATAGACTAGACTATAGACTAGACTATAGACTAGACTATAGACTAGACTATAGACTAGACTATAGACTAGACTATAGACTAGACTATAGACTAGACTATAGACTAGACTATAGACTAGACTATAGACTAGACTATAGACTAGATTATAGACTAGACTATAGACTAGACTATAGACTAGACTATAGACTAGACTATAGACTAGACTATAGACAAGACTATAGACTAGACTATAGACTAGACTATAGACTAGACTATAGACTAGACTATAGACTAGACTATAGACTAGACTATAGACTAGACTATAGACTAGACTATAGACTTGACTATAGACTAGACTATAGACTAGACTATATACTAGACTATAGACTAGACTATAGACTAGACTATAGACTAGACTATAGACTAGACTATAGACTAGACTATAGACTAGACTATAGACTAGACTATAGACTAGACTATAGACTAGACTATAGACTAGACTATAGACTAGACTATAGACTAGACTATAGACTAGACTATAGACTAGACTATAGACTAGACTATAGACTAGAGTATAGACTAGAGTATAGACTAGACTATAGACTAGACTATAGACTAGACTATAGACTAGACTATAGACTAGACTATAGACTAGAGTATAGACTAGAGTATAGACTAGAGTATAGACTAGACTATAGACTAGACTATAGACTAGACTATAGACTAGAGTATAGACTAGACTATAGACTAGACTATAGACTAGACTATAGACTAGACTATAGACTAGACTATAGACTAGAGTATAGACTAGACTATAGACTAGACTATAGACTAGACTATAGACTAGACTATAGACTAGACTATAGACTAGACTATAGACTAGATTATAGACTAGACTAGACTATAGACTAGACTAGACTAGACTAGACTAGACTAGACTAGACTAGACTAGACTATAGACTAGACTAGACTATAGACTAGACTATAGACTAGACTATACTATAGACTATAGACTAGACTATAGACTAGACTATAGACTAGACTATAGACTAGACTATAGACTAGACTATAGACTAGACTATAGACTAGACTATAGACTAGACTATAGACTAGACTATAGACTAGACTATAGACTAGACTATAGACTAGACTATAGACTAGACTATAGACTAGACTATAGACTAGACTATAGACTAGACTATAGACTAGACTATAGACTAGACTATAGACTAGACTATAGACTAGACTATAGACTAGACTATAGACTAGACTATAGACTATATAGACTAGACTATAGACTAGACTATAGACTAGACTATAGACTAGACTATAGACTAGACTATAGACTAGACTATAGACTAGACTATAGACTAGACTATAGACTAGACTATAGACTAGACTATAGACTAGACTAGACTATAGACTAGACTATAGACTAGACTATAGACTAGACTAGACTATAGACTAGACTATAGACTAGACTAGACTATAGACTAGACTATAGACTAGACTATAGACTAGACTATAGACTACACTATAGACTAGACTATAGACTAGACTATAGACTAGACTATAGACTAGACTATAGACTAGACTATAGACTAGACTATAGACTAGACTATAGACTAGACTATAGACTAGACTATAGACTAGACTAGACTACTAGACTAGACTAGACTATAGACTAGACTATAGACTAGACTATAGACTAGACTATAGACTAGACTATAGACTAGACCAAAGACTAGACCAAAGACTAGACTATAGACTAGACCAAAGACTAGACTATGTCATATAAAGTAGTTTAAAAATAAATAAATTTTGTTCAATTAACACCACGTTTGTACACAACCCGCTCAGCACAGTCTTTGTGAACAAGTAGCAAATAGGGAAAAAATCGTAGTAGTGAAATGTGCTAAATTTGCATATAACATTCATGTGCAAAATGTGCATCCGTTTTAAAGTATTTATCCACTGTACGAGTTCATACATATTTTACATTTACGTACGCAGCACGTACGTTTAAAAAGAATTTCTTAGTTTTTTTCTCTCTTTTATTTTTTGCAAATATTGCTGTAATTTCTCATGTTGCTACTTTTATTTTATGCTATTCATAGTACTCCACCACTAACGGGTATTCCCCTTCTGATATTTAGTAACAATAAAAAAAACAAAAAGCTTAAGCAAACGCAGTGATACCGTAACTTATTTTAAAAATGAGTTGAAATAAAATTGCTAAAACTAAAATCTTAGATAATTTAAAAATGTTTCAATAAAACCTTTAGGCGATAACCGAAGAAATCTTAAAATTACATTACATTTGGAAATAAAGTTAAAGTTTTACCTTACCACTTCTTTAACAGTTTCAGCAACACTGCTGATTTACTAAATAATACTTCATTATGGATTATTGCTCTAAACTTTAAGTTTAACTAACCATATATAAATTTTTAAGCGCAATTTATATTTCCATCATTTAAGCGCCAAATGAGAAAACTACAACCAACTAAATAAAGTGGAAAATAAAAACTTACCTCAATCATTTGCATAAGAACATCAAATATTAGTTGTGAACTACTTTTATAATCGACACCAGATTGTTTTGTAAAATATTGATAATTTCTATACGCTGTATTTGCAGCAACGCCACACAAATGTTTCGTTGCCGTTGAAGTTTTTGATGTTGAACTTTCCTCACCGCCACCACCAGCCAATGACAATGAATCGCTTTCATCAATGGACGAGTTTTGCGAAGAGGACGAGGGCGATGATGAATTTTCCATTTGTTGCCAAATGAAATTCAAATCAAATTGATTTGCTGCAAAATATTGAGTACCAATTACTGAATCAGAGACAAGATTGCGTTCCAAATTGCTGTGATAGAAGACATTTGATGGTGAAATAATAAGTTGAATTTCATGAAGTTTTTTGAGGCTATAAAAGAAAAGAGGAGAAGAATAAAAAACAAAAAATAAATTAGTTGTAAAATTGTTAAATGAAATTTCAATTTTTGTAATAGGTTTTGTATTTATTAATAGAAGTTAGAATTTAGAAATACTATTAAGTTTTGAGGAAATTATTTATGTGCGTAATAAAGTACTAGGTCAAATAGGGAAAAAGAGTCTAGAAGAAGTCTTCCCCTTTCGTTGCTTTTCTGACTTCCCCAGTCTGTAGCCCAAGCGTTAAAATCGCCGCTGATCGTTGGTGAACGCGTACATCTCTCACTAGGTTGTCTATAAGTTTCGAAGTTTTGTAACATCATACTTGGCGGTGCATAACAACTGTATATATAGATTCCACGGAGTTTAGCTCTTGCGATGCCTTGGTGCAACTGCTTCATTCCCTCTTCAATAGCTTCACACACTTTCGGCAATGCTTAGATCTGTCACATTTCGATTTGCCGAACCTCGAAATGTGGCCACATTCAGGTATTTGAAGCATTTAATTACCGATTTTGTTTCTTTATGTCGACACATTCAATTTTTATCTTTCTAATTTCTAGAGCTTTTCGAGCATACTCATCAAGTGCTGTTAGATTAGGGTTCGGCACAAATCTCCTCTTTTGATGTAATGTCATCCAAATCTATGCATTCTATGACAACCTCTTCCTTTAGTGTTTTGACTTCTGCACTCCCATTTAATGATGTAAGAGTTTCTCTGATGTATATTTCTCCTCGTCGTTTCTACCGAACTATCTGCCTACCTATATATCTATCTATCTATCTATCTATCTATCTATCTATCTATCTATCTATCTATCTATCTATCTATCTATCTATCTATCTATCTATCTATCTATCTATCTATCTATCTATCTATCTACATATCTACATATCTACATATCTACATATCTACATATCTATTTATCTATCTATCTATCTATCTATCTATCTATCTATCTATCTATCTATCTATCTATCTATCTATCTATCTATCTATCTATCTATCTATCTATCTATCTATCTATCTATCTATCTATCTATCTATCTATCTATCTATCTATCTATCTATCTATCTATCTATCTATCTATCTATCTATCTATCTATCTATCTATCTATCTATATATCTATCTATCTATCTATCTATCTATCTATCTATCTATCTATCTATCTATCTATCTATCTATCTATCTATCTATCTATCTATCTATCTATCTATCTATCTATCTATATATCTATCTATCTATCTATCTATCTATCTATCTATCTATCTATTTATCTATCTATCTATCTATCTAATTATCTATCTATCTATTTATCTATCTATCTTTGTCTTCCAATTCAATTTTTAATAAAATATATTCATAATTATTTTCTAATTGCAAATATTTGTTATACAATAATTAATTTATATAAATATTACAAACTTCAAGTGCTCTACCATGCAAACATTATTCATTTTAAATGCTTTTCAAATATTTTCTCTTATTTTCTTTACATTTTGTTAATAAAACAAGTTGTTTTTAAACAATATTTAAAGCACATACTAACGATTTAAATGAATATGAAAATGTATGTATATTAGTAATTCTCAAAATAATTAAAAAAATATTTAAAATAAAAGAACCATACACTTTAAACAAAAATTACAAAACTCAAGTACTTCATTACAAACGAGAAAGAAACAATTAAATTATGAAAATATAAAATTTTGTTTTTGTCTACAAAAAAAAAGTCAAGTGTGGTTCTTTGTAGTAACTTCAAGTGAATCGAATAAAAATGGACAAAGTTTAGAGTCTTAGTCGTTAAGTGAACAACTGGCGAGGCTATTTCGGAACAACTATATCCATTTTGATTCAGAACACTTTATCCTTTTAACTATTACTCTTCTGCAATTGGATCCTATTGTGGCAAAAGTCAATTAGAAGGATATTGCAAATTCATCGTAAATATATGTATTATCCGAGATAATATAGAAAATTATTGAAAAATATATTTTTGCCAAACGTACTATGTACATCTAATAAATTTATGCAAATTTTGTATTGGTTTAATTTATTTAAACAGTTTTATACGAATAATTAAAAAATAAAATTTATATTTGTACTGAAACTTTTTATATGAGTGTAAATTTAAGTGTGAATGTACATTTGTAGTTGTAGCTGTGTTTTGCAGACGAGTTAAAAGTAACAAAGTATCTGGCTACAGAAAAGTGTTAAAGCATATGTTGTTAACAAATTGTTGCTGCTGCTTGTTATTATGATTATTATTATATTTGTATGTTTTAAATAATTTATTTTTTTTTTTAATAGTGTTTTCAAAAATATTTGTGTGTAATTCTTAACATATCACAAAATATTTAATGAATGTATGTAGTTGAACACATATATGTACAGAGAAAACACTCTAAAATTAAAAAGGCAATAATGAAAAAAAAGTTGTAAAAACCACAAGTATTTTACATGTTTTATTGTATTTTTTTAATATTGTACACAACAGCATCCAATGGCCACTTAAATGTTTTTTTTTTTTTTATTTTTTAAAAGTTAAACATGGTGAGACAGATAAACACGCTCACATACATTCATATGAATTACATGCACATACATATGTGTGTAGATACATAACACACATATACGTTATCTAGAGATATATGTACAATAAAGTTGGTCAAAACATAATCAAACAAAAAAAAAAGGAATAAATAATATACTATAGTAAATTTTTTGTTAAATATAAAATAAAAATTTTTTAATTGTTTTGATGTTGTTTTTGTGGTAAAATATTATGTTGTTGTTTTGTGTAATTGTATGAGTTGCTATTCAATTGTTGTAGTCCCATAAAGTATAGTGACTACATTTTTAAATGTTTTAATAAATTCTACATTTATAGAAAATGTTTAGAAAAAAAACTAGTTTGTTCTGTCTGTCGTTTTGAAATTTTTTAATAAATTCTCCTTTTTCAATTAGTATTTACAATAAATTATTCCTATATAGAAAAATTTCGAAAATTTTTCTTAATAGAGAATTTTCAAAAATTCTCATAAAGTACTCTTATTATTGACAATTTTTGAAGTGTTGGCTTTTATAGAGAAATTATAAAAATTTAGTTTTTTAGCGAAATTTTAAAATCACTTCTTTTAGAGAAGAATTCCAAAAATTTCTCTATAAAAAAATATTGAAACAATTCTTTCTTTATACAAAATTTTCGACAAAATATTTGTTTTATTTAGAATAAATTCAAAAATTTTGTTCTTTAATTTTTAAAGCTTAAAGATCATCATATTATTTTCTTTAATTGAAAACTCTTGTCCTATTTAACACCACTACGCGTATACGCAATATGTTTAAAAGAGATTGTTATTTTTATAAAGTATACGCCACATAATATTGATTAACTTTTGAATAGAGAAAAGAAAAACAAAATCTAAAATGCTTTTTTGCAATAACTTTAAAATGTATTGAAACATACTAATACATGTAGTTTACAAACATGATTACAACAATATACGAATGTAGTTTTTTTCTTTTAATTTAAAAATAGTTTGTTAAAAGTAAAAAATCCTTCATCAAACCAATTTCATTGGCATTCCTAGCCTGTTTTAACATACACTTACATACATACATATATATGTACATTTCCTACAATATTGAAATACAATTTGTGTGTATATATATTAGGGTGATCGACTCGATTTTTCAACCGGTTTTAAAACCGGTTTTTTGTGCTTTACCAGTGTCGTTTTTTTCTTAATGTTGATTTTTCGAATATCGAATAACCCGGTTTTTTCACTTTTTAAAAACCGGTTTCGAATACTTTTATTTGCTTTGTATTCAAAGATTATTTAAATGAAATTTTTAAGTAAATAATAATACAGCCCGCCTAAATTTTAAAAATATTCGAGTCGAGGAGCTAGCGTATATTTTTCTAAAGCTCCTTTGGTTAAACTTTTTTGATTTTCCTAATTAATTAAAAAAAATTTATTTGTAAAATTGATAACTATTTGATAAAATTTTTATCAATCTTAAGATTATATTCCAATTACAATAATTAATTTACGGCTGAAATTTTATGGAAGTGTTGGAATGCCTACGCAAATTTCCTAAACAGGGCTTTTAAAATAAGCTAGGATTACATAGTACCTTATGTTTAACAGAAGTGTCCCACTTTTTTCCTAATTTTTTTATATTAATGAAATAATGTAAATCAGACGACTAGATCTAAAGTTATACTCTTTTAAACTGTTAAAAATCATTTCGGGCCATGTTTTATTAATCAAATTTAAACATAAACATTAAGTTTTTCAAATTAAAATATGTTTTTTATTTATAATGAAAAACCGGTTAACCGGTTTTTTCTGAATTTGAAAAATATCAACCGGTTTTTTTTAAATGTCAACTATTCGAACTATTCGAAAACCGGTTTTTGGAAAATGTCGAATAATCGATCACCCTAATATATATGTATGTACATATTTAGCTGTAAGTGCGAAAACATTTAAACACAGTAGTAGTATGCGAGTACAAATACATATACTTTTAAAAGCCCCTTAAGTGCTATAATGTTGTCTAACTTGTAACATTAAAGATTACACAATCATACACACACAAATATTCTATGTATTTGTTGCATTCACACTGACACATACACACAGTATGCGGCTCATGTACTTTGTCTAATATTTTGTTCTAGTAAAACTCTTTTACTTTCAATTTTTCATTTTTTTTTTCATTGCAGTTGTATTTCATGTGGTTCTTCCTCTTTTTAAACTAAATACTATTATTACACTGTTTTCAATGTACAAAAATGCTATATTTATTTAAAATCATTCAGGGGCAATGTGAATCTTCAATTCTAGTTCTAGCTCAGTTCTAATTTCGCTCTAGCTCAGTTCTAGTTCAGTTCTAGTTCAGTTCTAGTTCAGTTCTAGTTCAGTTCTAGTTCAGTTCTAGTTCAGTTCTAGTTCAGTTCTAGTTCAGTTCTAGTTCAGTTCTAGTTCAGTTCTAGTTCAGTTCTAGTTCAGTTCTAGTTCAGTTCTAGTTCAGTTCTAGTTCAGTTCTAGTTCAGTTCTAGTTCAGTTCTAGTTCAGTTCTAGTTCAGTTCTAGTTCAGTTCTAGTTCAGTTCTAGTTCAGTTCTAGTTCAGTTCTAGTTCAGTTCTAGTTCAGTTCTAGTTCAGTTCTAGTTCAGTTCTAGTTCAGTTCTAGTTCAGTTCTAGTTCAGTTCTAGTTCAGTTCTACGTTCAAGTTCTAGTTCAGTTCCTAGTTCAGTTCTAGTTCAGTTCTAGTTCAGTCTCAGTCTTCTAGTTCAGTTCCTAGTTCAGTTCTAGTTTCATCTAGTTCAGTTCTAGTTCAGTTCTAGTTCAGTTCTAGTTCAGTTCTAGTTCAGTTCTAGTTCAGTTCTAGTTCAGTTCTAGTTCAGTTCTAGTTCAGTTCTAGTTCAGTTCTATGTTCAGTTCTAGTTTCAGTTCTAGTTCAGTTCTAGTTCAGTTCTAGTTCAGTTCTAGTCAGTTCTAGTTCAGTTCTAGTTCAGTTCTAGTTCTAGTTCTAGTTCAGTTCTGTTCAGTTCTAGTTCAGTTCTATCGTTCTAGTTCAGTTCTAGTTTCAGTTCTAGTTCAGTTCTAGTTCAGTTCTAGTTCAGTTCTAGTTCAGTTCTAGTTCAGTTCTAGTTCAGTTCTAGTTCAGTTCTATTTCAGTTCTAGTTCAGTTCTAGTTCAGTTCTAGTTCAGTTCTAGTTTCAGTTCTAGTTAGTTCTAGTTCAGTTCTAGTTCAGTTCTAGTTCAGTTCTAGTTCAGTTCTAGTTCAGTTTTAGTTCAGTTTAGTTCAGTTCTAGTTCAGTTCTAGTTTTTTTGCATTAATTTCTTTATCTTATAATTATCACATTTCATAATAAAAATAATAATTCAAACCAATCTTTTAGAAATGGTTTAAATCAACTTCATACATTCATACCTATACTTACTACACAATGAAAAAAACAATTGTATGGAATATTTAGTACATCATGACAGAACACTAGTAGTACATACGAACTACAGAAGTTGTAGAAACCGTATCGTACTGCTACTTTTATATATACTGTATTGTAATATGTTGTACATCTTCTTTACACTTACCTTATGCTATCACAATTAATACGATTCCAACGAGTTGTATGATGATACAGTGAAAGTTTATTGCCCACAATTGGAAAAGTTTTGTACGTAATTAAAAGTTCCATAATAGCTTCCAAACAAATACTACGTATTTGATATTGTTCTTGCTGGTCCACCATATTTTCGTCATAAACTTTATTGATTAGAAGTAAAAATGTCATAAAATATTCCTCAAATTGTTGACGTGTTGTAAAACCAAAAATTGACAATCTATAAATAAACAAAACAACAATAAGAACAGTAATAATAATAAAGATATGAAAAGACCAGTAGCAGACATTTAAAAGATGAAGAACAAAATGAAATATTACACGAAAAGATAAATAGATAAATAAAAAAGTAATAAGAACTAAAGATTTATATGTTTTTTTTTTTAGTTTTTTTATGAGGCCAAACAGAAATTGGTAGAAAATTTTAAGATTTTTCTTTATGTTTAACAAAGACTTAACGACATATTGACAAATAAAATTTTACAACTAAAAGAAAACGAGTGGAAAGAAATGTAAACCACTTAAGGCTATTTATCGATTCAATAGAAATTTAAAAAGTAGACATATTTTTCTAATCTTTTAATACAAAATACTTGTGTCTACTCTATTAAATAGATTAAACTTTTGTACTAGTAATTGAGACTTAAACTTGAATGGAAATTTAAACAATTCAAAATGATTTTGTGTCTTTATAAAGCAGTTCTTGTTAAATTTTTAATTTGAAACGAATGGAGAGAAAAAAAAAGAATACCTTTTAACAAAACTTTTCAAAATATCGACATCACTAAGGCTTTCGATGGGTATAATTGGCAACATCGAATTGCTGTTGGTAGTTGCTGCTGTTGATGTAGATGTGGATGCTCCAGCTGATGTGCCTGATTGACTTTTATGTGAAGGAGATGTTGTTGGTGATGTAGTTGTGCTCTGACAGGCCAATAAACGTTGTTGCTGTTGTATAATTTCATATGGTGTTACAGCCAAAGCATAGAACAGATTAAATCTTAAAGATGAAATTGAAATTGATAACAAAGTATTCTGCAAAATTATAAAAGATGAAGAAGAAAATTTTAATTTTAAGCGACATCATTAAAGGCTCAAATTACTTTGTAACAGACAAAAGACTTAATTCTTTCACCCAAAAAGATTGTGTAATTAAAACAATATTAAAATAAATTAAAGAATAAATACTTTCACAAAACTGTTTGTTTACAAAGATAATGGAGAGTAGAAGAGAAAGAAATTAATATTAAACTTACCAATGATATAAAATCAAACTGGTTATTTATGCCTTTGAGGTCTAAAACATCAATGTTTGATAAAGCAAAAGCAGACAAGCTGGATGATGTTATGCCACCATTGTATTCACCACCACCAAAACAAATGCCTTTATCGTTGTTGCCAATTTTAGATTCAATTAATTTTCCAAGAAATATAACTTTTGGATTGTATTCTGCCGTTAGCCAAGCTTCATTTGGAAACTTTTTCTTCATTTAGATGCTCTCCATGTTCATGTTCGTGGTCTTGTTGTTGTTGTTGCTGTTTATTTGAACATTTCGCTGAAGACCTCAAAGCATTTTTATATTTCCTATAGAATATAGTATTTTCCAATAACAAAGAGCCCGACAAAACAACAACATCAAGGAGTAAACAAATAATTTTATTTAGTTCACACTTTGTCAGTGGCAAACATGAATCAATTGAATCCGTAACAGTTGTGCTGTTAGTGGTGGTGCCACTAACCAACCCACCACCCACACTTGATGTTGCTGGCATGCTTTTACCCAATGTTTGCTGCTGATTTTGTTGTTGTTGGTTGAGTGCATACCAAATGAATTTTTGATGTAGCAATATATCAATGCATTGTAGAGACACGGTTATACAATTCCTTTCTTCATGGGTTAGTGACACTAGCGAAGGCCTATTAAGTATGCCTTTAATACATTGACAACAGCAGCCCATGAATCGCACTAGTGTTATTACATGTTCCGGTCGCAACAAGTGTTCACTTAAGAATTTATCAATGAATTTCGATTCGATGTAAATTAGTGCTGTCACCTCAATTTGTTTAATGTTTTCCATTAATGCGATTACAGCTTCACACAAATGTATGGTGGTATTGATGGTGTCATCCTTGCTCGTAATGGGTAAAAGAATGCCATCATTATTTGTAGCACCAATAACATTAGGAATACCAATGCCAATACCGATACCGACATTGACACCACTACCAATACCACTGTCAACATCACCAATGATGGTATTATTTCTATCAACAACAACATGGCTAAAATTACTACTAGTACTACTATTGCTGCTACTGCTGCCTTTAACAACTGTTGCTTGTTGTTTATTATTGTCTGTACTATTATTATTGTTGTTAGTTTGTTGCTGTTTACCACCGCCACCACCTACAGTTTGAAACGCCTGCTCCTGTCGTCGCATCATTTCCACAATACGTGTCATAAGCTGTGTTAGTGCAACACGCGCTAATGGATTCGGTTGCATGTAGTGTATATGTGGATTATATTGTATACAATTGTTGCGAAATGTTTGCAACATTGCCTGTAGTGAGCTGGCAATTGAATGCCTTAATATACGCGTTGCATCAAAACTGCCATTATTGAATATCTTTTGTAGCTTATTTTCCGATTGTATCTCTAGAAGGATTTTCACTATTTGCTGTGGATCATAGTTGTTTTGTGCTGAGAATTTAATTAACTGTAATGGGAGGAGTAACAAAAACTAAATGAAATAAAATAAAAATGAGTAAAAATAATAGTCGGTCATATTTGACTATATGATACCCTATAATGATAATTTTCGGATATTGTTGAAATACTATAGTATAGTATAGAGTAGACTATAGTCTGAACTTTAGAGTAGACTATAGTCTGAACTTTAGAGTAGACTATAATCTGGATTATAAAGCAGACTATATTATGGACTATAGAAAAGAATATAGTCTGGATTGTAAAGTAGTCTATAGTCTAGACTATAGAGTAAACTATAGTCTGGACTATAGAGTAAAGTATAGTATGGACTATAGAGTAAAGTATAGTATGGACTATAGAGTAAACTATAGTCTGGACTATAGAGTAAAGTATAGTAAACTATAGTCTGGACTATAGAGTGGACTATAATTTGAACTATAGTCTGAACTAAAGAGTAGACTATAACCTGAACAATAGAGTAAAGTATAGTTTGGATTATAAAGTAGACTATAGTTTGAACTAAGTATGTGTATAGAAGTCTATAGTATGGACTATAGAGAAGTATATAGTCTGGACTATAGATTAGACTGTAGTCTGGACTATAAAGTAGACTATAGCCTGGACTGTAGAGTAAACTATAGTCTAGTCTATAGAGTAGACTATAATCTGAAATATAAAGTAGACTCTAGCCTGCACTATAGAGTAGACTATAGTCTGGACTATAGAATATACTATAGTAGTTAAATCCGGACTATTGAGTAGACTCTAGTCTGATTATAGAGTAGACTCTAGTCTGGTCTATAGAGTAGAATATAGACTGGATTATAGAGTGGACTATAGAGTAGACTGTTGTCTGGACCATAGAGTAGACTATAGTCTGGACTATAGCGTGGAAATATAGAGTAGCCTGCAGACTGTAATGTATGAAAATCACACTCACAATTTCTTTGTTTTATCAAATTGAAAGTCTGTGTAGCAAATACATAAGGTACATAGTCACTCACTAGAGAAACAAATACTATATCCCATATTTATTTGTTTAGTTTCAATTCAGTTTTATTTGCTTTTGTATTTGTTTTATTAGAATTATTGTTTGAAATGAATTTACTTTTGTAGTACGTGTTGAATAGAAAAATTATCGTTATGATATTAGAGTGGCTAAAGAATTATACATTTCTATTCATGTTTATGTTTAAATTCTATTTTATATTTTATTATCTGAAATGAATAAACAGTTATTTGATATTATTAATTAAATAAAAATATGTATATAGCGAACGTAAAGTATATTAGTAAATGTTTACTAATTGGATTAATAAGATAAATATTAGCTTAACTAATAAGTATTGTTTTTAATATAGGCTTAAGGTATTTAAATTTAAATTTACTTAACAATAAAATTATACTCAATTTTTGTATTTTCTAAGAAGTACAGCTGTATCTGTGTTCAGTATTATTCGAATGAAGGATTTATCTTTGGTTTAAAATGAAGTTCAATTTCGAACATTAACATTATGAATTTCGAATTTAAATTTAAATAATTTTTTTTTTTTTTTTTTTTTGATATCCAACAACAAAATCTTGATATGTTTTTACAATTTGTCTCACTGTTTTATATTCAACTACTGCAGCATTTCTATTTTGTGTATTTTGTTAATTATAATGCTTAATTAAACTTAATTAAAATCCTGTTGCTGATAGTATTTATCAAACAGATTACATACATTGCAAATAAAAAGGGTTGCTTAAATAATTGGGAATTAATACAATGAAACGTATAGACAGACAGATTCTGATGCATACATATATATTTGACCACCTGCACGTATGAGTAATTACAAAAAAAAATATAGTTTAACTTGTATAACGTATACGCTACTAGAGGATATTGTATGCAATGTAATCAATTCAATTAATTTCATCATTTTAAACATATTTTTTTTTTAATTTTAATTTATAATCAAATCAATCATTAAATCATGTTTTCACTGAATTTACATATATTTTTTTATGCATTTATTATATACTAGCTATACCCAGTGTGCTTCGCTACCCTCATCGTAATGAAATAAAATAAATATTATTGTAAATGTATATATATATCTGCAATATCAAATTTTAGAAAACTCAAAAAGTACCAATGAAGTACGAAAAAGTAACAAAAGACCTCTTTTATTTAATTTCATGTTCCTAAGTTCAATATTATAGAAAATTAAAAAAGTACCAGTTGAAGAACGAAAAATTACCAAGGGTCCCCTTTTATAGATTCTCATTAACTCCGGGCTCCACATGGTTAATTTCATGTTATAAAAAAACACAAAAAGTACCTTTGAAGAACGAAAAAAGTCCTCTTTTATATGTTCTCACTTACTCCGGGCTCTACGTACTTAATTTCATGTTTCTAGGTTCAATATTATAGAAAATTCAAAAGTACCTTTGAAGAACGAAAAAGTGCCGAAAAGTCCCCTTTTATAGGTTATCACTTAATCTTGGCTGTACTTGCTTAATTTCATGTTTCTAGGTTCATATTATAGAAAATTCAAAAAGTACCTTTTGAAGAAACGAAAAAGTACCAAAAAATCCCTTTTATAGATTCTCATTTACTCCAGGCTCTATATGCTTAATTTCATGCTTCTAGGATCAATATTATAGAAAATTCAAAAAGTACCTTTTGAAGAACGAAAAAGTCCCCTTTATAGATTCTCATTTACTCCAGGCTCTACATGCTTAATTTCATGCTTCTAGGATCAATATTATAGAAAATTCAAAAAGTACCTTTTGAAGAACGAAAAAGTACCAAAAAGTCCCCTTTTATAGGTCTCACTTAATCCAGGCTCTACATGTTTAATTTCATGTTTCTATTCAATATTATAGAAAATTCAAAAGTACCTTTTGAAGAACGAAAAAGTACCAAAAAGTCCCCTTTTATAGATTCTCACTACGGGCTCTAATGCTTATTTCATGTTTCTAGGTTCAATTTATAGAAAATCAAAAAGTACCGAAACGAAAAAGTACCAAAAAGTCCCCTTTTATAGATTCTCATTTACTAGGGCTCTACATGCTTAATTTCATGTTTCTAGGTTAAATTTTATAGAAAACTCAAAAAGTACCAGTCGAAGACGAAAAAGTACCAAAAAGTCCCCTTTTATAGATTCTCATTTACTCTGGGCTCTACATGCTTAATTTCATGTTTCTAGGTTAAATTTTATAGAAAACTCAAAAAGTACCAGTCGAAAGACGAAAAAGTACCAAAAAGTCCCTTTTTAGATTCTCATTTACTAAGGGCTCTACATGCTTAATTTCATGTTTCTAGGTTAAATTTTATAGAAAACTCAAAAAGTACCAGTCGAAGACGAAAAAGTACCAAAAAGTCCCCTTTTATAGATTCTCATTTACTAAGGGCTCTACATGCTTAATTTCATGTTTCTAGGTTAAATTTTATAGAAAACTCAAAAAGTACCAGTCGAAGGACGAAAAAGTACCAAAAAGTCCCCTTTTATAGATTCTCATTTACTCCGGGCTCTACATGCTTAATTTCATGTTTCTAGGTTAAATTTTAGAAAACTCAAAAAGTACCAGTCGAAGGACGAAAAAGTACCAAAAAGTCCCTTTTATAGATTCTCATTTACTCCGGCTCTACATGTTAATTTCATGTTTCTAGGTTCAATATTAGAAAATTCAAAAAGTACCTTTTGAAGAACGAAAAAGTACCAAAATTTTATAGATTCTCTTTACTCCGAGCTCTACACTTAATTTCATGTTTCTAGTTTAATTTTAAAGAAACTCAAAAAGTACCTGTAGAACGAAAAGTCGAAAAGTCCCTTATTATTAATTTCATGTTTCTATTTCAATATCATAGAAAACTCAAAAAGGACCAGTTGGAGAATGAAAAGTACCAAAAAATATCACTTGATACCGGGGTTCCAAATAACACCCCATTAGGATATTTAGTGTTTCTAAATTTAAAAATTTTATCTAAATTGGATCATTGTGGTTGAATAAAATCAAATTTCCCGTTTTTACCCCTTTTGGTACTTTTTTCCTCCCCATTAACGAAATAAAAATTCTATTCCAAAAAGTTGCAACATCGTAGTGGGAGCCTGTTATTATGTATTCATATGTATAAGTTAATAAACCAAAAACAATGTTTTATGAAAAAAGTACCAAAAATAGGTACAATTTTAACCCCTTAAACGTCCGAATATCCAAAAAGTACTAAATTCATATTTTTATTTTTTCGTTAAGTTATGAAGGAGTCAAAAATATTTTTTGAATGTGCACTGGTTTAAAAGACATGGGGTGCGAAAAAAGTACCAAAATACAGTTTTTACCCGTTTATTCCCTAAAGGGGCCGAATTTTAAAAAAGTACCAGACACCTGTCCGTTTATTTTTTAAATGAACGGCGATAAGCTTTAAACTGTTTTTGTATCTTTTCTAGTTTAGGAGATATAAGGTTACCGAATTTACCCGTTTTTACCCTTTTTTACCCCCTAAACATTTTATAGATTCTCATTTAATCCGGGCTCTACATGCTTAATTTCATGTTTCTAGGTTAAATTTTATAGAAACTCAAAAAGTACCAGTCGAAAGACGAAAAAAGTACCAAAAGTCCCCTTTTATAGATTCTCATTTAATAAGGGCTCTACATGCTTAATTTATGTTTCTATTTTCATATTATAGAAAACTCAAAAAGTACCAGTCGAAGGACGAAAAAGTACCAAAAAGTCCCCTTTTATAGATTCTCATTTACTAAGGGCTCTACATGCTTATTTCATGTTTCTAGGTTAAATTTTATAGAAAACTCAAAAAGTACCAGTCGAAAGACGAAAAAGTACCAAATAGTCCCCTTTTATAGATTCTCATTTACTAAGGGCTCTACATGCTTAATTTCATGTTTCTAGGTTAAATTTTATAGAAAACTCAAAAAGTACCAGTCGAAGGACGAAAAAGTACCAAAAAGTCCCCTTATATAGATTCTCATTTACTCCGGGCTCTACATGCTTAATTTCATGTTTCTAGGTTAAATTTTATAGAAAAACTCAAAAAGTACCAGTCGAAGGACGAAAAAGTACCAAAAAGTCCCCTTTTATAGATTCTCATTTACTCCGGTCTCTACATGTTTAATTTCATGTTTCTAGGTTCAATATTATAGAAAATTCAAAAAGGTACCTTTTGAAGAACGAAAAAGTACCAAAAAGTCCCATTTTATAGATTCTCCTTTACTCCGAGCTCTACATCTTAATTTCATGTTTCTAGCTTAATTTTAAAGAAAACTCAAAAAAGTACCTGTGTAGAACGAAAAGTAGCGAAAAGTCCCTTAATTATTAATTTCATGTTTCTATTCAATATCATAGAAAACTCAAAAAGGACCAGTTGGAGAATAAAAAGTACCAAAAAAATATCACTTGATACCGGGGGTTCCAAATAACACCCCCATTAGGATATTTAGTGTTTCTAAATTTAAAAATTTTATCTAAATTGGATCATTGTGGTTGAATAAAATCAAATTTCCGTTTTTACCCCTTTGGTACTTTTTCCTCCCCATTAACGAATAAAAATTCTATTCCAAAAAGGTTGCAACATTGTAGTGGGAGCCTTTTATTATGTATTCATATGTATAGAGTTAATAACCAAAAACAATGTTTATGAAAACAGTACCAAAAATAGGTACAATTTTAACCCCTTAAACGTCCGAATATCCAAAAAGTACGAAATTCATATTTTTATTTTTCGTTAAGTTATGAAGGAGTCAAAAATATTTTTGAATGTGCACTGGTTTAAAAGATACATGGGGTGCGAAAAAAAGTACCAAAATACGGTTTTTACCCGTTTATTCCCTAAAGGGGGCCGAATTTTAAAAAAGTACCAGACACCTGTCCCGTTATTTTTTAAATGAACGGCGATAAGCTTTAAAAACTGTTTTTGTATCTTTTCTAGTTTAGGAGATATAAGGTTACCGAATTTACCCGTTTTTACCCTTTTTACCCCCTAAACATTCGAATTTCCAAAAATCCCGTCTTAGTGGATCTATTTGGGCGGGAGACCAACCTCCTGTCCAAATTTCAGCTCTTTAGCTTCACCGTTTAGGCTGTGCGATGATGAATCAGTCAGTCAGTCAGTCAGTCAGTAACGTTAGAATTTTATATATATAGATTAATTAGACTGTTAATTTCTATAAAATAATATTTTCAAGCTATTAACTCGCTTTATAATTAAAAACATTTCAATTACAAAGAAGTGCTTTAAAAAAAAAACATTGAATATTTTCCCTAAGATTTATTAGTGGCCATATTTTCATTTGATTTATTTTTATTATTTTCATCATAATCATCCAACTCACCTGATTAAATATCCATTTCTCGTCTACAATATTAGAAACACTTCCCAAAGGAGCATTAATATCATCGTCTCGAATTTCACAAGAATTTTCCAAATCATTTAAACTATTAAAATGAGAATAAAAATCAAAGAGAACAAAAAGAAATTGAGCAAAAGTGGAAGAAAAAAAAAATATCAAATAAAGTACTAAACTTAAGAATGCATAAATGTTTTGAGAAAAAGAAAGGTATAAATGGTACAAACGAGAATCAGAGTGGGTACATGCTTACTATGTACAAGTATAAGAAAAAAGTAGATGAAGAAGGAGAGACAGGGAAATTTAAATAAAAAGCCTTCTAAAAGCAAAGAACAAACAAATTATTGTTATACACTTAAGATTCGGCAAACGCGGGTTGAGTCTATTTCACCAAAAACACTTTTATTTAAGAAGAAAAACATGTTCTTAGATAAGAATAAATCAATAATCAGGTCTTTGTTAGGACTTTAATATAAACATACAGTACATATAACTTAAATGCATGTAAGTTCTTTCTACAAAACAATCTAAGAGACTTAAAAAAACAAAAATTAAATTTTCCACCGCGTCAATTGAGTATTAAATGTTTATTGTCTCAGATTGAATAAAACATACACACGACATCATAAAAATGGTTGTTTAAAACATATATACTACTCGACTAAGTGGTATAAAGGAGAAATCAAAATCACTTACATTATAAATTGCAGTTGTTCGCTTAAGTATGATGATGTTGATGATGACGTCGACGATGTCGATATTCCTGGAACGTCTGTGTTATGTTGATGTTTTCATCAGCATCTTCCTCTTCCGTTAAACATATAAATGTATCGTAAATGGCATTTTTATCGTGCATTGAAGAAGCATCAACGATTAAATGTCTAGCTAAGCGCTCGATTTGTAATTGAAGTGGCCTATTGGATGCTATAGATGAAAAGTTTGCTAACGTTGTTGCTTCGCATGCCAATAGTTTATGTAATTTATTTAAAATTTGTAAAAATCTTGCAAAACATAAACTTGAATAAACGACGGCGCTTTGCTTGCAAAGATATTCCACTAAACGTAATAGGCAAACAATTGAATGCTTAATGATTAAAAAAGGAATAAAAAGAAAAGCATATAAATTAAGAATAGAAAAAAAATGGAAATATAAATACCAAACTATAATATCTTATTTAGGATATAATCATAATAATAAAAAGAAAAAAAAACTATTCATAATTGAAATAAATGCTAGAAGTGGTTTGAAATAATAGTTGAAAAAAAGAAATCATTTTATAATTGGATACTCAAATACCTGTGATTTTTTTCTTATTATAATTTTCGTGATTGTTTCTTTACGCCTTCTATTATATTAAATAATAATAACCCACCTTATTGAACACTTTGATATTTTTCAATGCCATTGTTTGAAATAATGAGCAATTTTCTTCATCCACTTCACATAAATAGCACATGAATGCAAATTCTTCAATAATTAAAATATTTAGAAAATTTCCATTGAATAACTGTTGCACTTGTTGCTGATTCCATTTAATAGGATTTGGCTAGGGGATGAATACAACAGAAAAAATAAAAAATTAACAAAAAAAAAAAAAAAAAAATGCAAAATATATGTATAAAAAAACAAGTAGAAGGATAATAATGAGAAAAATATAGAAATTAATTGTAGAACTAAAGTAGATTTAACTAATTAATGGACGAGATATAATAATCTCTTACACTCACTCATTTGCTAACACAAACTCACACACATACATGCATAACATAAACCTAAATACATAACTCTGTGTGTTTAAAATTTTCCCCGCAGGTTCTGCAACTAACTAATTATCATTGTTAAATAACTGATAGTAAATTTAAAAAATACAAAGATTCAAAGAAGAATCTTAACCGTGTACTGAAAGTTTCCATTTGTACGCTGTATGCCTTCAAAATTAAAGATAATGAGTTCAACTCTAGTCTCAGTATAATTCTTTCTTTCTTAACCAGTGATTTGTGGAGCCACTAGTGTTAAAACTAAGTGGATGGTAAATTCAACATAGCTGCAAACTAGTTCAATTGTAGAACTGCTGGGTTGTTATACTTTAAAGCTTTCAATTAATTTTCTGTGCTAACTACTACACTGTGGTATGGGGAATTTATTTTCTGTATTACTGTTGATTGGTGGATGGTAAATGGACATGAAATCAATGTTCATGGCAGTTAGAAGATTAAAAAAAAATATTTAGGTTAAAAAATAGGTTGGTTTAAAACTAAACACTAAAGTAGTTAAGATAAAAGTATCAGAAATTAAGTAGAAAGCACAGATTAGGTAGCCGAAGATCGAAGCATTTCATCTCGCAATTGCTTATCGCTAAGAGTCTCAACAATGGCATTATAAACATCATCGATTGAGTGATGACTTTAACTGAATGCAATCGTAACTATAAAATACAGCATTCCCATTTTTACACAGCCCCAAGTAGTGAAAATATATGTGTTTTATTCTTGACAATAATCTGGAAAACTAGGGTCATATTTATACATATTGTTTCCCTTTGTCATCATATTCATATTCTTTCCTTAGACCCTACATATCGACATTAAGCTTTGTCATAGAGAGCAAATAATAACGATGTTATCGGTATTAAGGGGACAATGTGGTATTGGCGATCATGCCAGGAGAGTAAGTTTCAAGTGGAATGACTACTGCAGAAGTTGTCATAATGAGGAGAAAGAGGAACTATATCTCATTTCCCCTGCTACTGTTCTACATACACAGAGATTGGAGAACATTATTCCAAATATAGTAAATCGGAACCGACTGGTTTAGTTCTAGAATTACTGAGTATTTCCATAAAAGACGGGAACACAACCAAGTGGATCAATGTAAGCCGCTTAAAATTGAGTGACTAATCTAAAACCTAATTAAATATCTTCAGACAATTCTACAACTTAAAATATCTTTGAACGATTAAAAAAGAAATATCAATTTAGGATAATTGGAGGATGTTCAAAGTAATATTATTGGTTATTATACTTCAATGCTCTACAGGAGCCTTCAAACATCATATAAATATTACTCAAGTCAAGACATCAGTCCGGCTAATGTTTATACAAAATTAAATGTTCAATAATGCCAACCATTCTCAAATAGAACATTCGCTTCTGTGAGAGATTTCTGTAAATTGGAAAATCTACTTTTAGGTTCTTGTGACATAGTTTTCTAAGTAGTTCCTTTTTTCTCGGATAGAAACATGTTTATCATAGCATTAGGTGACAAAAGATCCATCAAATTACTCTAAAGAAAATGTGTTCACTATTTTCTTATTTGTATTTCACAAATGGCTTAATAAAGCTCCTTCAAAACTTCGCTAATCCTATAATTTAGCTAACCATCAATTTACAATATCTAAAATAAACAAATTTATTTAAAATAAAAACTCTATAAATAAATTCCCTTAAAATTACTTGAAATATTCCCACTTCAAGAAATTTAGAAAACAAACTAACTACAAACAAACTAACAAAACTTTAATCATTAAACTGCTCTACACCACGTCACATGAATTTGGCAAAACTTTAATCATTACACTGACACACACACAAGTTCAGGTGAATTTTGTCAAGGACAGAGAACGCCTTTTTAATGTTTACAACATTTGCATACTCTTATACAGCATACACAACATATACAATTTAAAATGTACATACATGCATACATCCACAAGTACTTTACACACAATTTTCCACATATTAATTAAAGTAGTTTTACTAATTTCATACTTACATTGCTCTGATGACAAACTTTATTCAAAAGTGCCCGCCTTACATGATTACTTATGTCATCCAATTGTAAACGCTGCAGCAATGCCAACGGATCCAATATACCGAGATCATTTAATAAATTATACAATTCCAGTTGCAATTGTAATAACGTATTATCCACATCCAATTCGGGCAAAGTTGTCATAGAAGTAGTTGCTGCTGTGAAAGTTGAAGTAGTTTGCTGATGTTGTTGTTGTTGTTGCTGTGGATGTTGGACAACCTTGTGTTGAGTACATCATCAACAAATTATAGTATTCATTTAACAATTTTGATTCACAAGCATTTAAAGTGAAACGTATTGAGGCGAGTAAAGAATCCTCTAGACGTGAGTTGAAACATAGTTGATGCAAAACTTTAACAAATTGACATACTAGACGACAATACTGTATGGCAAACTGTTGGCTGTAAGTGGAGGAGGGGCAGGTCGTATTCGCATCATGCTGCTGCTTGTTTCGCGTTGTTGAATGTTGATGGTCAGAGAGTATGGTATGAAGACACTCAAGAAGAACATCGCACAAAACTGTAGCAAAATAGTTAATTTCATTTATAGTACTTGAATTGTTTGTTAGTGTTTGCTGCAAAGCTATGGCCTGAGCTGCAGCAGCTTTTGATGTTGTTGGTTTGGTATCCAATAGCCAAGAATGTGACGTTGACGATGAAGACGACAACGCATCAGCAGGATTTTCGTGGTTTTGCTTTTCTGTTGCTTTGCCTTAACTTTTCCACTATTGTTGGGTGATTTTTCAAATAGAGCTTTAATGTGATTTACTAAATAAATTTCCTCGGTTTTGAGGATTACATTCGACAGGATAATCGTTGCATACGATAAATCACTAAAGTTTGCAACATCCTTTATTTTTTTTTAATTTTTGTTAGTTTCGTGTTAGGCAAATAACAGATACGTACGGTTTTTATCGTAGTTGTTAGAAATTGTATTGTTGTTATTGTGTGTTTATGTTGGTGGCATGGCCAATAGCAATGTTGAGTCGAAGAAGCATTAGTAGCAGTAACAGGAGCAGGAACCGAAAGCAAAAAAAAAAAAAGATTTTTGTTGAAATTTTTCATGGTAAATGGTGTTGTATGAGTAGGAATTAGATGATTTCGCCCCACAGTTGTTGTTGGCGTTGTAGTTAAAAGTTGATGTTGGAAAAATAAGGCATCACACACACACATAGCACATAGAGAAAAACCATCCAAAAAATAATAAAAGTTGAATTTGAGTTGGAGGTGCCAGCATTAGACATGGTGAATATAAAATGACAAATAAAACAAAATAAAACATTATATAGAAAAAAGTTAGATCGTTAGAGAGAGTTAAAACTGCAAAAAGTTTTACGTTTTTTTTTCATATAACATGAATATATAGTAGAATTTTTCATTCTACGTATATTACATAAGGACTAAATAAAACTATTGAAATGCACAAATATGAGTCATGTAAGTGTGAAATGTTTTTACCTTGTAATTATATACAAGTTTTATTTATTTAGAATTTATGTTTTAGTCCTTTTTTGGGGGAAAAATAGTCAGACTTTCATAAACAAAATAAATTTGTAGTGATAAAGTAAAGCGAAGTCCATCAGGATGTGTTATTTAAAATATATAAAATAAAGAAAACGGATTGTATAAGGTTTCTACAAAGATTTGTTGGACAAAATCGTTTATTTACAGTTAATTGACACATTTTTTAGAAAAACATATCGACAAAAGTATTCAATAGAATTAAAAAATTTCTAAAGAAAAGTGATTGTAAAAGTTTTCTATAAAAAACTAATGGTAAAAGATTTCTTTATAAAACAGATCGACGAAAGTTTTCTATCGACAATTGTTTGACAAAAAATTTCTAGGCTTTCTATCCCCAAAAGTTTTTTAAAAAAGAAATCGATAAAATCTCTACAAACTACAACTAAACATTCAAATTTAAAACCAATTAAAGAAAACCATTTCAACTCATATTTATGCATCCATAACTTAATATATACATATATGGAATAAATAATAAATATAATTCAACACAAACATACCCCTTCAACAGTATATTTAAACAATGACATAAACTCCTTGCTATTACCCAACAAATATTTGGTATTATTTTTGAAAAATGTATCCAACATATAATAATCATTCCAATCTTGTATATATAAACGATTTAAGCATATTGAATGACATATCATACTACAAACAGTATCAAGATTTGGCAAACATGTTGTATGTGATTGTTGCTGTTGTTGTTTGTTGTCTTCATAACTTCTAGCTAGTGTATCAACCATAATTGTTGCAGTTTCTGTTGTTGTTTTATTGGCATCATTTAACATTTTATATTGTTCATATTGTTGTTGCAATTGCTCAATTAGCAATAGTAAACTGAGCACTTGTTGGCAATCATTGGATTCAATGAATTTCTCCAACATTCCCAGAATGACTTCTTTTTGTGTGTCAAGTTCGTTGTTGAGTGTTAAAAGATTTTCTGTTATAGCGGCCAATGAATTTGGGTCACTTTTTGTATAGTTGTTGCTGTTGTTGTTGAAATTAAGGATGACAATTGTGCTTCTTTGGGTGATGTTGTGGATTGTTGTTGTCGTTGCTGGTGTTGTGTCATTAAAAACATTTCATAAGATAAAGTTTTTAAAGCTTGTACAGCAACATCTCTGATATTATAGTTGGCTAATAAATTATTAATAATACTTATTATTTTTGGTATTGTTATTAAATTCCGTTCACTTTTCGAAGATAATTTAATAAGGAACTTAATGATGGGTGTAATCATAAAGAGACCGTTACTGTGAAACAAATGAAAGATTATTTGAAAATATTAAAATTATTAAGTATATTTTAATTTACCAATTTAAAAAAAAAACTCTATACTCACCGTGCTATACCACTTTCGATTATATCCAAGCTTTTAATAATATTGTCAAATATCACATTCTTCGAATCCAATATACTATAGGTAATATTAAAATCCAATAAAAGAACTAATAATTCTAAAATCTGAGACTGAACTCGACCATTGCATTTAAGAAAAAGCTGAAAAGATTAAACAAATACAGCAAAGTTGAAATATTTCGAATAATATTGTTTAAAAAAGAATCTAGGATTACACTGCCACTTAACAAATGCAACAGTATTAGAAAACGTCTACAGTACTTACAGTTAAACAATATATGACCAATGGCTCAAAGAGTTTTATATGTTTAGATAACTCTAGCTCATGCTCTGATTTCCAAGTGTTAAATTCTAAACCACTTGCAAATAGTTCAGCCAACAATAGATAATCATCTTGTGAGCCAGCAACAACAATGCCAGTAGAACCAACATAAACATTAGCAGCAGCAACGTCGTCTCTGAGGCCAGAACTATTAAGAGATGTAGAATCATATCATGCAAACGGAAGCTTCGTTCGTTGATAATTGTACTGCTGGTGGTATAATTGTTGTAGATTGTTGTTGGGAAACATTTGCAAACAGTGAAGGAGATGATGGTGATGTTGGTTGATTTGTTTGTTGTTTGTGGGATGTACAAACATCATCTTTGCTAATGCAATGTAGCTCTTTGCATTTGGCCTTAAAGTAGGTTTTTACAAATGTTGTTCTTGGTGTTTTTGTTTTTGTCGTGGTATAATGGGCTGGTTTGTATTGTTGTTGCATATTGCCATAATTTCTAGCAAACAAATATTTCAACAGTTGTCGCAGACATGCTATACTCTCTTCTGGTGCATAATTTATGACTTTGGTCAAGTACTGAAGAGTTTCTTCAATTAATTTCAATACCGAATTGCAAACAGTAGCAGAAACTCCTGATGCTGCCATTGTTGTTGCTGCTGCCATAGATGCTCCTCCGGCTGGCATTGCATTTGGAAACAATACAGCATTTACATCCGTTGCATTTTTGGCAACATTACTTCCACCACCGCTACCACCATTGCCGCCAACACTGTAAGCAATAGCTGCTGCCTCATGAGGCAACATTTCGATGCATGCACTCATTGAGTTCAAACATGTTTTTAAAAGGGAAATTAATTTGCTGCCAGCTTCCTCATTAATGGTAATCTTGATAAATTTGTTTTTGTTTTTAATTTTTCCATTTTACATTATGCATTCCCCCAAACAACCAAAGAACAAAATGAAAAAAATAAAGAAATAAAATTGTACAAAAAAAAATTAAAGTGATGAATTTCAAAAAGTTTTTGCTATTTTCATATACAACATCTTAAAGTAGCACAAATTGCCTTTTTCAGACATTTCTAGACTTCCTTTAGGTTTAAATATTGTCTTTTTCTATTATATAAACACTTACCTTATAGTTATCGTAGGCACTTTTTAATGTTTGATAAAGTTTTATGTAGACATATTCATTGCCAAAATAGCCAATACTTTGTGTTATGGCCAATTCTTTGGCGTTGCTAAAAAGATCAACTTTTTGGCTTTTAGCCATAATTAAAGGCTTTTGATTTGTGAAAATATGATAATAAATGTTTATAATTTTTATTGTATGTTTAAGTAGACTCAAATTGGTGTCACGATTGGCATGGACATCTGGTTGAAAGATTAAGGAACCTGTAATAATATAATAAAATACAATAAATACTTGTATTCTTATTTATTCTTAGATAAAAAAAATTAATAAATTTAGAGATTTAAATTATGATTTTATCCTTTAGTTACAAAATTTATAAAATTTTAATAAATTTAGGTCTTTTAAACAAAATTTAATTACATAAAATTGTATTCACATTCGTTGAAAAATTTATAATCATCATATTTCTCAGGGAAAAAACACATTTAATTATCATTTTAAACCTGCAAAGTTTTACACTTTCTACAGAATCTAACAACAATTTTAAAACTACATTTATTTAAAATAACAATTAACATAAAATTATCATTAATAAAAGACAGATTTAGTTACTTTTATCAAAGTATTGTAAATGGTTTTTTTAACCTTTGTGTTAGCATTTGTCATATACATATGTTTAGAGTTCGTTAAAACTTATATAAAAACCCCCAAAAGTTATAGAATGAAATACGAAGAGGCAATAAAAAAAAAAACCTAGACAACATTTGTAAATTGCATATTATAGAGTTATAAAGAATAAAGCGCACAACAGTAAGCCCTATCAAATGTTATAAACAATTATTTCTTTACATAGTATAGACTATAGCCTGACTATAGTATAATTAGATAAGAGTCAATGTGTCTTTGTGTAGAATATGGACCATAGTTTAACTGTAGCCTTGACTAAAGTCTTGACAATAGTATTGACTATTACCGTTACTATAGTATTGACTAGATATAGTCTTGAGTGAAACCTTGACTATATTATTGATTATAGTTTTAATTATAGTCTTGTCTATTGCCTTGACTATAGTATATAATATAGCATTGATTATAGTATAGACTACAGCCTTGATTCTAGTCTTGAATATTGCCCTGACTATAGTATTGACTATTGCCTTGACTAAATTATTGGACTATAGTCTTGACTATAGTATATACTATTGTATTGACCATTGCCTTGACTATTTACTATATAAATGTGGTTCTGACTGAAACACTGACTATAATCTTGACTGAAAACTTGACTATAGTATTGCCTTGACTATAGTCTTCACTATTGGCTTGAGTATAGTATTGACCATTGCCTTGGCTATAGGATAGTTTATAGCTTTCACAATAGTTGACTAAACTAACTATAGATTTGACTGTATAGACTATAATGACTACTGTAGTCATATGCTACAGTTTTGACTATAATGTAGACTATAATCCTGTCTATAACATAGACTATCAGCATAGGCCTTAACTATAGCATAGTCTATCATGAATATAGTATGAAATATAGTCCTGCCTAACGCATATAATATGGACCTAAAGTTTTAAATATAAGAGAGGATATAGACTTGACTACAGCATAGACAGCATAGTCTTGACTATAGTATCATAGAAAATACAAATATTGGAATTTGTTAATAAAAGATTCAAGTAATTATATTGTTAGATATCGGCATAAAATTATGGATGTGATTAAGAAATCTATAATTAGTATAACTGTATATCTGTTACCCTTAAGAAACGCAGATATGGAAACAAAGTTAAGGAAAAACCACTTGTTCATAATGACATAGTTAACTGAAAACCATTTACCATTAACAAAACTCTTAAGCATCAACACATTATATGTTGTACACACTGTACATATATATAATCTTATAAAAGATACATATACATGCATTGGTTAAACTCTGTGTATTTGCACTATACTCTGCAGTACGTGGCAACTGTCTCAAACAAGTGAATTTACTTTTTGTTTAGAAAATTATCACTGGTTATAGAATTTTTTTAGAGAAATTCGAGTGATTGAACTGAATTTATTGATAGTGATAAGTTAAATAATTGCTTTCCAACTTCTTCTAAGCATTACTTAAGGACAGTTAAGATAGGACTAATTCTCTGCATTAAGATATTCCAATTTTAAATTAAGTCAAAACTATAATAGTTAACAACTTTTTCCAAAAGAGGATATATTAACTCCTTATACAACTGCTGGGTTCTACACTAGCATACAAAGTTTATCCTTACGATAATTTCTCTTAAAATACAAGTACACACATATACACTCGTATAACCTAGCAAAGTTTTTCACTGTTAAGAGATGGCAGAGTGACTGTAAGCGTCATGGTTGCGCAAAAAAATGAGAGGGTTTCAATTAAAATTACGTTAAATTTACTACAAAACATTATTTTGTAAAATTGCAGTCATTGACAAGGAGTACTAAAGTTAGACTTTTAATTTAGAACTGAATTAAATTTAAAACCGCAACAACTAATTCTGGTCACTTGAACATCTCTAGAAGTAGAGATGCAGGCAAAGCGCTTTCACTTAATATTAGAATTAAATGTAAACGTAGTAGTAAGTATATTCATAAACGTAAGTATGTAAGTAAGTAAAATGATGTGAAATTATATTTGTTGGCTCTGTCTGGTTACTTGCTTTCTAGCAGCAAATCTAAAATGCATGTTGCTGTATGATGTTTTAAAGTACAAAATGTATGAAAGTAGAAGATGAAATTCTAAACAGATTTGATGTGTATATATTTGGGAGGAATGAGTGAGTGAGTGAAAATGTGGTATTTATTTGCATTTGTAAGTATAATGTTGTGTGTGTGTATAAATGTTAATACATTTTAAAGAATAGAACTTTGTATGACTGTTTAATCATATATTCATTACGTTTATTCATTTACTATTGCTACTCTCACTGAAGAAGATAAAAAACGATGGTTGTTTAAAGACTTGGGGAATTATTTAAAATCTAGTTTTTGAGGTAATAGAAAACTTTTAATGGTTTGTCAGAAAGTAAAGTTGGTTAAATAAATATCAACACGAATTCTAAAAGTAATAGATCTACATACAACGTTGGAGGTGGTAAGATATCTCAGTAGATCATTAAATCTGGAACCAAATTATTATATTTAAATTGAGCAGCCCTCGTAGAATTAAATGTTATGTTTACAATTTTGCAGTTTCATTTCAGAAGTCAACATCATATCATTTCTTCAACAACAAATGCAACAAATTTTATGTATCCACAGTGATGGGAGAAAATAATAAAACTAATTGGATTTAAATGTCCTTAAAATATGGGGTCAAGCTGAAATTATTAAATATTAGATTAAAACAAAGAAAAGGTTAGTAATCTGTTAAGTGGACTCCAAAAGTAGAAGGCCAAATATAACAGGATTTTATGAAAAAAATTGCACATGAGGTTACCTCCAGTAGGTTATTGGTCAATGTTCTAGTGTAACACTCCAACGTGGTTCGATACCCACCTGTGGTACTATCTATCTATCTATCTATCTATCTATCTATCTATCTATCTATCTATCTATCTATCTATCTATCTATCTATCTATCTATCTATCTATTGCACATGAGGTTACCTCCAGTAGGTTATTGGTCAATGTTCTAGTGTAACACTCCAACGTGGTTCGATACCCACCTGTGGTACTATCTATCTATCTATCTATCTATCTATCTATCTATCTATCTATCTATCTATCTATCTATCTATCTATCTATCTATCTATCTATCTATCTATCTATCTATCTATCTATCTATCTATCTATCTATCTATCTATCTATCTATCTATCTATCTATCTATCTATCTATCTATCTATCTATCTATCTATCTATCTATCTATCTATCTATCTATCTATCTATCTATCTATCTATCTATCTATCTATCTATCTATCTATCTATCTATCTATCTATCTATCTATCTATCTATCTATCTATCTATCTATCTATCTATCTATCTATCTATCTATCTATCTATCTATCTATCTATCTATCTATCTATCTATCTATCTATCTATCTATCTATCTATCTAGCTATCTATCTATCTATCTATCTATCTATCTATCTATCTATCTATCTATCTATCTATCTATCTATCTATCTATCTATCTATCTATCTATCTATCTATCTATCTATCTATCTATCTATCTATCTATCTATCTATCTATCTATCTATCTATCTATCTATCTATCTATCTATCTATCTATCTATCTATCTATCTATCTATCTATCTATCTATCTATCTATCTATCTATCTATCTATCTATCTATCTATCTATCTATCTATCTATCTATCTATCTATCTATCTATCTATCTATACTAACTACTACTAACTAACTAACTAACTAACTAACTAACTAACTAACTAACTAACTAACTAACTAACTAACTAACTAACTAACTAACTAACTAACTAACTAACTAACTAACTAACTAACTAACTAACTAACTAACTAACTAACTAACTAACTAACTAACTAACTAACTAACTAACTAACTAACTAACTAACTAACTAACTAACTAACTAACTAACTAACTAACTAACTAACTAACTAACTAACTAACTAACTAACTAACTAACTAACTAACTGACTAAATAACTAACTAACTAACTAACTAACTAACTAACTAACTAACTAACTAACTAACTAACTAACTAACTAACTAACTAACTAACTAACTAACTAACTAACTAACTAACTAACTAACTAACTAACTAACTAACTAACTAACTAACTAACTAACTAACTAACTAACTAACTAACTAACTAACTAACTAACTAACTAACTAACTAACTAACTAACTAACTAACTAACTAACTAACTAACTAACTAACTAACTAACTAACTAACTAACTAACTAACTAACTAACTAACTAACTAACTAACTAACTAACTAGTGGCCTCCGGTAGGTTAGTGGTTAGTGTTCTAGTCTGGTAGACCGGAGGTGGTGGGTTCGATTCCCACCTGAGGCACTGGTTAAGGAGCGCACAACAGGCCCGATAGAGGCCTAGGTGTATTTCTTCGGATTTGATGTATATACATCCTCCTTTCAAACTAACTAACTAACTAACTAACTAACTAACTAACTAACTAACTAACTAACTAACTAACTAACTAACTAACTAACTAACTAACTAACTAACTAACTAACTAACTAACTAACTAACTAACTAACTAACTAACTAACTAACTAACTAACTAACTAACTAACTAACTAACTAACTAACTAACTAACTAACTAACTAACTAACTAACTAACTAACTAACTAACTAACTAACTAACTAACTAACTAACTAACTAACTAACTAACTAACTAACTAACTAACAAACTAACTAACTAACTAACTAACTAACAAACTAACAAACTAACAAACAAACAAACAAACAAACAAACAAACAAACAAACAAACTAACTAACAAACAAACAAACAAACAAACAAACAAACAAACAAACAAACTAACTAACTAACTAACTAACTTACTTACTAACTAATAAACTAAAACATATAATTTTTTCCCAAATATCACTAGAAGTTTCTTTATAGCTATAGCCTTTTTAATTTTAAATTCAACCACTTTTACCCTCAACTGTTAGTTAGCAAATGTGTAATGTACTTCATAGTATTTACTTACCAACTATTAATTTACTGCTGACATCAATCAAATCACTTTGACATGTTAAGTCGACTGCTGTGTTATAATTATACTGTGATAATTTGACGAAGATTTCCATAAAGTTAAACTCGGTCCAAGCACAAGAATAATCAGCAAATGAAAAATACGTAAGTAAATATTTCGTACATAAAATATTGCCAAACTAAAAAGGAAAAGACCAAAAATTAAGAGATGAGATTTTGTAAGTTAATCACCATAAAATATAAAATAAATAGACCATAACACAACAACACAATTTATGCAAGATTTAGTTGGATGTATGTATGTATTTACCTGCATATTTTTATCTTTCAATGACATTAATCTATTTGTTAGACGATATAAAACTTTGGCTAAAACAGTTTCAATTTGTTCTCTCTTTGGTAAATCCATATTAAATGTTGATGAGGAGGACGAGGAGTAGTAGTTGTTTGTTGATGAAGCTGCTGATGAGCCATCCAAAGTTGTAAAGATATCTGTTTGTTGTTCTCGTCGGGGATTTAATAAGCAACGCAGTGCGGGTGACATGTCATTAAAGATACTATAGTCTAAAAAGTTTATCAATAATTTTAGATTTTGTATATAAGTTTTATGTAGAGCATCTTTGTCATTATTATAGTCAAAATTTATTTTATTTTTTTGTGTTTGTTTCGGTTGTTGTTGTTGCTGCTGCTGTTGTTGTTGCTGGCTCGTATGTTTGGCATTTTGTAAAATAAAGTTGCATAAACATTTTGAGGCATGTTCTCTAACACGTACATCATCTTCGCCAATCAATTGCAAAAGTTCATCGATAAATGAATTCTATAACGAGAACGGAAATAGGATGTTCATTATAAATATATGTATGTATGCATGTTACTTCTACTATTTTTTATTATTTCGCAAGATTTCTCTAACAAAAAAAAAGTGAATTTCTATAGACTTTTTAGAATGAGAAAACGAGATGAAATTTTTAAGCAAATCAACTAACATATCAGTTAGTTTGGGTTTACATAGTTTGCATGGGAAATATTTACTATAGCATCAAATATCTATTATTTACCCCTAGTATTTATTTGTAACGAAAAAAAGAAAAATTTACCATTTTATTTATTTATGCTTCAAGACACAAAACGCCAATAAAGAGAAAACTACTATACATATTGATATTTAGTATAAAATTTTAAGTTATTTACGAAAAAAATATGTTGAAAAGTTGTAAGAAAAACAAGTTTGTTGGTTCAATTGAAATATTTTTTTATTTAAGAATCTATTAGTATTTAGAGCTGCAAATAAACGAATCTATATTCGATTTTTGTATTTATTTATTTGTTTGGCAATTTGTAAGAAGAGGAAAAATGTTATTTTCAAGTAGAGTAGTACTTGTACCGGCAAATCTATTAAGGACCATTAAGCTGACCTTCAGCCTTTGACTTAAAAGGTGGAATTAGATTTTTGATAAAAGAAATTTGTGCAAAATATTGTATTTTGAGTATAATTTTTGTTGTGATGTTAATTTTTACCCCCTTATTCACAAACAAATTTTATTTTATAAACAGTTTATAAATTAGATTTTGTATGGAAATTTTGTTTTATAAAACCTTTTATAAGGGGGTTAGTATAAATTTTGATTTTTTGTTAGTTAGTTAGTTAGTTAGTTAGTTAGTTAGTTAGTTAGTTAGTTAGTTAGTTAGTTAGTTAGTTAGTTAGTTAGTTATTAGTTAGTTAGTTAGTTTAGTTAGTTAGTTAGGTAGTTAGTAGTTAGTTAGTTAGTTAGTTAGTTCGTTCGTTCGTTCGTTCGTTCGTTAGTTCGTTCGTTCGTTCGTTCCGTTACGTTAGTTCGTTCGTTCGTTCGTTCGTTCGTTCGTTCGTTCGTTCGTTCGTTCGTTCGTTCGTTCGTTCGTTCGTTCGTCGTTCGTTCGTTCGTATCGTTCGTTCGTTCGTTCCGTTCGTTCGTTCGTTCTTCGTTCGTTCGTTCGTTCGTTCGTTCGTTCGTTCGTTTCGTTCGTTCGTTCGTTCGTTGTTCGTTCGTTCGTTCGTTCGTTCGTTCGTTCGTTCGTTCGTTCTTCGTTCGTTCTTCGTTCGTTCGTTCGTTCGTTCGTCCGTTCGTTCGCTTCGTTCCCCCCATGCCCACTCCGCTCGCATACATCTAGGCCACCTCGGGTCTGTTGTGCCTCTGGTGGGAATCGACCCACCACCTCCAGTCTACTAGACTAGAACACTAACCACCCTAACCTACCCGAAGCCACTGACTTAAGTAAAATATGTAACACTTTGAATTGGATTTTTAATGCATTTTTGGGTGAAACAATGTGAAATCAGTTTTAAGAAAATTCGAAATTTTAATGATTTTCAGGGTGAATATGAAATTTCAAGTAAAAATTTAAATTTTCAATGAAAAATCGAATTTTTATTAAAAAATTGAATTTTTAGTAAAATTTTAAATTTTGGTGAAAAATTTAATTTTTTGTGAAATTTTCTTTTCAAGAGAATTTTTTTTTTTAATTTTTAGTTAAAATTGTCTGCTTTATTCATAATGCAAATTTTGAAAATTTTTGTGCCAGTAATCGCGATTTTGAGCTTATGCATTCATTTCTTTTGACAGTTTATTAAAGCAAAAAAAGCATATTTCCTAAGCCTATAGCGAGTTATAGTATAGGCTTGTTATCTAAATCCAAAAAGTAAGCAAAATATTTTCAAATAGTTCATAATAAAAGAAACTTTTCAAACACATAGTTTTTCTCAATATTTATCTTGGTATCCAATTTAGAAAAATGCAAACATTTTAATAGTTTTTAATTTTTTTTTTTTTTTTTCAAAATGAAAATAAAATAAGGAAAAGAAAAGAAAAAGGCAATATGTATATGGATAAACATGAAATAACAATACTAACCTCTAAGTTGCAGACAAAATCAGCATTATCAACATCGTCTACATGACCATTTAAACAGACAACACCACTACAACAGCAGCAACATAACTGACAGCTGGTACATGCCGTTGAAGAAGAAGACGAATCAGAAGAATTCATAGCTGAGGATGAGCAACAGCAATTGCATTTACTAATACCCCATCCATTGTGGTTTTTAGTGTTCATATTGTTGGTATAGTTATTTCCGTAATAAGAACGTAGTGAAGCATAATTTAAATTCGAAATAACTTCGGCATATTTATTTTGGACCAACCAATATTTGTTGTAGTGACATAGACGTAGTTTATTCAATAGCAATTTTGGTGATATGAAAAGTAAGTTGTGGTTGTTGCCACAGCAATAAGGAGATCGGGCAAGTGAAGACAACATTTTACTTTCATGTGTATTAACTTTATGTTGATGTACTGAAGATAAAGGAAATTGGTATGAGATAAAATTGCTATCACCATCATCTACTATACGACCACAAACAAAACCACCGCAACCATCAACACTACTGGCCGTATTAATGTTATTGGTTTGTGAATTGTTGTTGGTATTGCTAGTAGTGATGTTGTAGTCGTTGTTAAATTTTGTTTGCAATTGAAAAGCATTCAAAAGCGCAACTATAATCTCATCATTATCGTTAAAGTGCCCCGAAATACACTTAAAGTTTGTACTTCCAGTGGCTGCAGCCGTACCATACGTTCCCGTTATTTTTGTCTGTTTTATTGTAGAGGCATTTCTGCATGAATTCTCATCTTTCGAGAAGTTTTGCTGTTGTTTATTATTGCTGTTTTTGCCAGTTTCTTTCTTTTTATGTTGACCATTATGACATGAAGATGATGATGATGATGATGATGACGATGACGATGTTGCTGACATGTACTTAAAAATCACATATGGAAATATTTTATCAAATGTGTTTAAAGCTTGTATGACAACAGTATGAATTTCATCTTGTAGACCCTACAAATATAAAAGAAATAAGAAAGAACAGAAAAGAAAAATAAATCTCAATAATGAACAATAATGGTAAAAGTTTTTAAAGAAAATCTTTAAATTTAATAAGGAAATAAAAGAATTTTCTTAAGAGCTTAAACAACATATTATTATATTTAAGATTTTTTTTTAACAATTTTCTACTTACCATGCACAATATGGCCAATAAATATTGTAAATTTATAGAAGAATTCATACACAGACCAGCTTGTGTAGAACGCAAATAGTGACCAATTATGATTTGTACACCGGCACGTAAAATAGGATCTTCATGTTTATAATAGAATAAAATTTCATAGAGAAATTGTTTAGCATTTGTGTAGTTTTTATTTAAATTTTGTTTTGTTAATTCTGCTTCTTGTTTGGATTTTCGTATAGTTTTGGTGCGCTTTGGAGGCTTTGGAGGAGCCATATCTGTTGGTGGCATATCTTCTTCAGCTTTGGTAATTTCTACAAAACCTTTTAGTTTAGTATCTGAGGAAATAATTTCCGAAGTGGTTAAGTCCTTTTTAATTTTCAATAAAGGTGACTTTTTTAAACGTTCTTCGGTTTTGGTAAATAAAACAGGATCGGCACTTTGGGTCATTTTCGGAGCCGGTTGGCTAAAATTAAAGTCTGTCGAACTTTTACCAAAATAATCATCGATTATTTCCAATAAAGGAGTCTCATTATCATCCATGCGAAAAACATCTAGTTGAGAAAAGGAAGACTTTCTGGGCGCTTCGGTAACCACTTCTAAATGTTCATAATCTTGTCCTATATTGGAACTGTTGTCACTTGGTATTTGTAGTGGGCTATTGGACTCACTTATATCTGTTGAGGGTTTTTCGTTAAGTTTTTCTTTAGGTTTTTCAAATTCCATAAATTTTAAAGAAATTTCTAAAACTTCTGGACACAAACGTACACATTGGCCCATTACATTTAGGCAGACACTTTTAATGGATACTCGTACAGTAGTGTCATCGTAGAGACCACTTGGACTACCGGTTAATAAAAATCTGGCCGATATTAAACGTGCAGTATAGTAGATTAAAGATTGTTCGTAGATGGAGCCAATATCCACACTAAGTTGAAGTTGATTAGTTGAACCTTTTTCTTGTTGGGGGGATGTTAGAAAAGGATTTTCTGGAGAAATGAAATGTACAAAAATATATAGAAAATATAAAACAAATCGTTTGTTCAGGGAGCTAGCAAGAGAAAGCTTAAAATTATTTAAAAAAAGAACATACAAATTACTTTTGAGCATGAGTTCAAATGCAATAAATAAGTATCAAAAAAGAGGACCTTACTCTCTTTCAGTATTATATTTTTATATATTTTTGATGTTAAATTTTTGTTGTTTTTTAAACCAAATTAAAAGTAAACCCTTAAATAAACTACGATGCGTATGAGTAATATGTTATTTATCCATTATATGAATTGATCACTTTGCCCTTATTCCGATTTGTTATAACAACGTTACATAAATGTTGCCAACACAAAAATTAACTTATCGATATGCATTTCAATAATTAAAGAAATAATTGTACAGAAACTTTCTTCACAACTTTCACACTCAATCATTTCTACTTACTGACAATCCTCTTAGGAGTAAAATTTTTCTCTTCAGCTACTTTTGATTTTATATCTTTTGTCGATACAGAAGAATCAACAGAATCAAGTGAACGTATTTCACCCATAATGGCTGTTGAAGGTGTGGGAAAAGTTTTACTAGTATCAGGTGATGATTCATCAATAACTTCAATAATTTCAGCGTCCGCACTCTTAAGTGGACTGGTATTCGAAACCAATGAAACAGAATCTATTGTTGTAGAAGAGCTAGAATTGGCTGCAGGTTGTGCCACATTTTTTGCAGAGGGACGAAAGAGTTTTGTAACTGATTCAGATGCTGTTAAGGGGGGAAAAAAAGTTTTTATTTTTAATTTTTCATAAAACAAGTAAATAAAGTAAAAAATATAATAAAGAAGGTATAAATGAAAGAGTGTACTATTAATAGAACATAAACTATTAACACAACAAACTAAAAACCTTGTAACATGCTTAAAAGTGTAAATATTTGTGTACCAAAGTTAGTGTGTGGTAAGATACATTATACAAATAAAAGGCAGTGAGTGTAAAAATAGCTTAAATACAGGAAAATAAGGAAGTTTTTAACATCCCTACAACACACATACATGTGTATTTATATACGAATCATTGGTTGTTAGTTATTCTTTCTTTCTATCTCTCTTATAGTATGTATGTACGGGATGATCTTTAAAATAAACAGCAATTATAGTTTAACATGCAACATCCTTATGATAAAAGTTTACAAAAATGAAATGGACACTTGAATGTTTGAAAATACTTTTTTTCCCCAATAACAACTTTTCTCTTCGTGTTTGTGTGTCTGTGTGTGGGGAAAAACACTTTGTCGTTTACTTCTATTACATTTTAGCTATACATACAAAAAAAAGTTTGTTTTGCCTCAAAACAATAAACGATCATATGGCTTAAACTTATACATATATATAGCATATAGTTTTCAACATGCAATAGTGTTTATATTCCATAATAACGGCAATTGCTTGCATTTCATTTAACCATTTTCCAGGTCAAAATGTGTTACATGAAAATAATGTATTTAAAATTTTCAAAAACACGAAATGACCATAAACATTGTGTTGTATGCGATAAATTGAAAAGAAAAAGAAGTTAAAGAAAAAACATAAACGAAGAGAAAAACTTAAAAATTGCATTAAAGTACTTGTAAATATCCGGCTAAAAATAAACTGTTTGTTTAGGTTAAAGACTGTGTCAAAAGCATGTTGCATTTGTTAGGAAATGATATGGTCGACATTTTAAGTGTTTTCGATAAATGTTGCTATTTGGCTAATAACAAATAGAATTTCAATTGGTAACATATTGAAAATTTATAGTCTTTTTTATTAACATAGATATGGCCTCCGTTAAGTTAGTGGTTAATGTTCTAGTCTGGTACACCAGAGGTTTAAAAAACGTATAACATGTTTAGGTGAGGCTTAGGTGTATTTCTTCGGATTTGATGTATATACATCCTGCTTTCTAACTAATTAACTTATTAACATAGATTATATATTTTTTGCAATGTCAAAAACCGTTAGGTTAAGGCAGTCGATGAGAGCGTCAACACTCTCGGGTCCATATAATGATCCCGTTGTGATACCCTGAAGCGGATCACACCTCGACCTACGTAAGATCGTTCTGTCTATGTTCAGTACGGCGTCCTGAGGCACGGCAAAGGATTCTAACCTATTTATATCCATGCTGGATAGATCCACTGTGCCGTGCAACGCCGAAAGAAAGTGTTGAATCGTCTCCCCCCTATCATGGCAACATCTACAGAAGTCGTTATATGGAAGGTTAAGTCTTCTATCATGCGCACCTATTTGCAATGCCCTGTGAGTAAGGTGCAGTCGTTGCCTAACCCTTGAAAGCACCAACAAACTGTGAGACCTTCTGCCATCACAGATTGAGCAGGTTTGTTTTGGGTGCGCTTTGGAGGCTTTGGGTAGCCATATCTGTTGATGGCATATCCTCTTCAGCTTTGGTAATTTCTACAAAACCTTTTAGTTTAGTATCTAAGGAAATAATTTCCGAAGTAGTTAAATCCTTTTTAGTTTTCAATAAAAGTGACTTTTTAAACATTCTTCGGTTTTGGCAAATAAAACAGAATCGGCACTTTGGGTCATTTTATAAGCAGGTTGGCTAAAATTAAAGTCTGACACTTTTAATGGATACTCGAAGAGTAGAGTCATCATAAAGACCACTTGAACTACCGGTTAATAAAAATCTGGCCGATATTAAACGTGCAGTATAGTAGATTAAAGACTGTTCGTAGATCGAGTCAATATCCACTAACAAACTGTGAGACCTTCTGCCATCACAGATTCACCAGGTCTGTCTAGAAGTTGAGCTAGTAGTCAGGGATGCCCAAACCAATAAATAGAAAACAATATTTTATAAAGAAGTATCAAGAAAAGTACGATTTTTATCCCTTAACCATATGAATTTTCTAATATGTTGTTTCTAGATAACGTGTGAGTAGTTTGAGTTAAAATTTTACTTGTATTTTGTTTTTGTTACAATAACAAAATACAAGTAAAATTTGTACTCAAACTACTCGCTCGTTATTTAGAAACAGCACATAAAAGTACCAAACTTTTAAATTTAACTTCTAAGTTTTCAGGTTTTAAAGATAAACGAGGTCCAAAAAGTACCAAAATACAAGATTCACCCATTTATTCCTAAAAAGAACAAAAAATCGGAAAAGTACCAGACACTAGTCCGCTTATTCTTTGAATAGATAACGATTTGTGTAACATTTCTGTTGTATATATTTCAGTTTTTACTTCTAAAGATTCAGATTTCTAAATATCCCTCCTTAGTGGTTCATATATGACCAAGAACTAAAGAACCATGTCTGAGTCATTGAGAATATACAGAAAGCAGCGTTGCCATAATTTTTTTTTCAAAAACTTCAAATTTAGAGAAAAAAAACTGATTTTCAACTGAAAAAACTGCCAAAAAATTTATAATTCAGTTCATATATTTTTTTATTAAAACATAACAAAACATAACAAAAAATAACAAAAAATAACAAAAAATAACAAAAAAATAACAAAAAATAACAAAAAAATAACAAAAAATAACAAAACAAGTGAAATTAAATACATATAATAAAAAATATAAATATAATTCAGTTTTATAAAAAGTATTTGAAATAACATGCATTTTCGTAAATTGAGTTTATTTCTCCTGGCACTTAATACTAATTAGATTTGTACATTTCTTTGGTAAATTTGATTGCCATTTCTTTTGATTGCACGAAATTGCTGCAATTACTGTTATTTTTTTAAGAAAATCTTTAGTTCTTAAAATGCCACACAGTGTTGGCACTTCTAATCTGTTCCTAGTTTTATTTTTATTAATATTAATTTGTGAAAAAATTCTTTCAACATTAGCAGTTGCAACAGGTACTGACAAAATTGCATATACCAGTTTTTTTAAATTAGGAAAAGCTTTAGTTCCGTCGCCACGTTTTGTTTTAAATATGACTTCCCAAAAGGTTTCAATATTTTCTTCTTCTAATAAACCCAAGTCTTCAAAATTAATGTGCAGTAGTTCACGCCACTCATCATCTGTTTCTTGAATGTAGTTCATTTCTACTACATTTGGCACAAAACTACATAATTTAAAAATACTTTTATTGTTATTTTTCACAATATTAGCAGGTGCTATGACCTCAACGCATTCTAAAAAATCATTTTCAAAATCAAACTTTTTTAAGAGTGAATTGCAAAGCTCAACGTAAAATTGTAAGCAATGATTTCTGAAGTCCTTTTCGCGTTCCTCAGATAATTTAGTTAGAGCTAAGGAAACTTCCGCACCTAAATAAATATCCTTTGGATCTTTTAAAAATGTGGAATTGTTAATATCAATCTTTTTAAATTTCTTAAAACATATATATTCTTCCTTTACTATACATTCAAAAATTTTTCCGTATAAACGGTTTATTGTACTATTTAATAAATGTATTTTTGGGCTTTCGTTTTGAAATAGACGGTTTAGTTTGTTAATATCACTTAATATAAATTTTAAAAATAGTAAATATAATTCAAATTCTGGATTATGTAAATAATTTATTATTCTTTGTGTAGAATCAAACTTTTCTACGTCTTCGTGTAAAAAAAATAGTTTTAAGACTTCTAATCTGCTCAAAATCTGATTTACAGTAGCTTCGAGCGATAGCCAACGCGTTTGGGAAGGGTGCAACATTTTTCTGGGATTATAATCCAGCAACGCTTGTAATTCTGAAAATAATTCAACTCGTTTGGGACTATTTTGAATAAAATTGTATATATCCCTCGCACCACCTTCAATATATTTCGGTAAAAAATTACATGCTGAATTTGCGCAAAGAGCGAACGAGTGGCAAATACATTTAAATATAATTAAATGTGGACAATCTTTTTTCAGCAGTGTAGCAACAGAATGGTTACCACCAGTCATTACATTGGCACCATCCGCAGCAAAACCTATTAAGTTTGTTTTATAATTTATATTATTATTTTTGAAAATATTTACTATTTCTTCATAAATCCCTTTGGCGGTACAATCACGCACTTTAACCAAATCAAAAAAAAAGTCACAAATTTTTTCTTTATATTCAACTCTTACGACTAGAGATAACAACTTAGTAGTTGATACGTCCGTTGATTCATCGACGCACAAAGAAAACATTTTTGCACGTAGTATACTACAGAGTTCTTCTTGGTGAGTCTCGCCTATAACGTTTTTCACTATAGATGTTGTCTTTGTTCTAGCACATTTTGTTTTCTTTACGAGCGCCGAATCCTCAATAGTTTCTTGGAGTAAAGGAACTAGATGATCCATTGCCGAAAATGGAACATTATGTTCTGCGCAGAACGCTGCTAAATGGAGTTCAATATTTGATATTTTGGCACTATACTTTACTGAATCGCTTAGTGATACCTTAGAACTTTTTTGAATTTGTACAGCTGTTGTTCTTTCAACATGTTTAGATGTCAAAGCATGAGCCTTTAAATCTGACACTCCAGCTAATGCTTTTAGCTCACAACAACAAACTTTACAGTACGCCAAATTATTATCGCTTCTCCTGATCCACGATTTAAACATTTCTTGCTCCTCCCACGATTTATTGTAACCACTCAATTTTCGTTTTCGATTTTTACTTGAGCGAGGTGGGGATTCTGCAATATGTATCACATCTGCCCGCAAATTTTCAGTTTCTTTATCTAGTAAATTAATGCTTGTTATTTAATGTACCTACATATAAAAATAACAGTTTTCTTACCATTTCTTACTAAATATTTATCCATATTAGTGGTAAGTTAAAGAAAAATATTTTGTGAGTTGCATATGCAGAAGAAACCTTAGTATTACTTTGTGAACTAAACTAACAAACTATAATAGCAAACTCCATATAGAGAAACATAACTTTCTTAGACATAAAAATGTGGGAATTCCCTCTTTCTTTGTGATCAGTGGTGCAAAAAATAGTATGTATATGATAATTACATTGTCGCATTAAAAAAGTATGAGTAAAATTATGGCTTTAGAAATTGGAATTAAAATAACAAAATTGAAATTAAAAACTTTAAAGGTAAAAACTGCAAAATCTGCATAATTTACAGAAAAACTTACTTTTTTAAACAAAAAACTTTAAAACTTTCAATGCTTAGAAAAACTGCAAAATGCAGATAAATCTGCACATTTGGCAACGCTGACAGAAAGATACTTTGTGTTACTTTTTCTCTCTTAAAATGTTTCTTTTTGAATTTTCTATCATATAAACCCAAAATGTATGAAATTAAACCTACACTGGTCCTGATGTAATGACAATTTATAAAAATGTTTCGTTCTTTAAAACATATTATTGACAAATGTTTTTAAAATAATTAATTCTCATGCTTTTTTCAATACTACACTATGGGAAAGGTTCAGTAAATTATATTTATTAGCACAAAAACTCAACTGGCAAGCAATTTTACTTAATACAATCCATGCTATATCAGTTTAAACTTAAAATTGTTATTTTCCATATTTAAATAAGTATTTATTTTAGTAAAAAAAACTTAAATTTTAAAACCAAAAATTATAACCAATAAACAAGATGCAAATCACTACACAAAACAACATAACAACATAGCAAAACATTGTACATACATATGTACAACTGTACGTAATTGATGTAAATAATATAATTAAATGTTTTGATATTTTAGATTAGATTTTCTATATTTGCTGTAGATAAGTATGCATGTAGTAAATATGCAATGTACATATGATTGTATACTTTTAACACTAATATGTATATTTATTTACCTGCATTAAAGTTATTAAAGAACGAGGTAAAGGCATCATTATTTGATTTTGTATTGATGGTGGTATTGGCATTGGCATTGCCATCAACATCACCAACACTATCTTCAGTGGATGTATGTATTTTACCCATACTGCTGCTGTTGCTGCCTTCAACAACTAAACCTCTTGAGATTTCTGCTTTCGATTCAATACTATTGATAGATTCATTGTCGTCAGTATTGTACAATTGATTTGATTTTTCATCATCGGAGGATGAAGAAAAATTCACCAGCAAATTTTGTGCATCATCTATTGTGCTCTGATGGTCTGGCCGCTTTTCTATTGCTTTTACTACCACACCATGACCGGAAATAGTTTCATTGATTAAAACCGACGAAGAGGAGTTTGTTTTTGTGGTAAATTCAATGTTTGCTGATGTTAACAAAGATGAGGATGCATGTGTATGTTGGGACTCATTCATTTCAGACAATGTTGTAAAATCATCCTCATCGTCATCGTTGTCGTCTTCGTTGTTGGCGACGCCGTCATCAGCATTGTCATCTTGTTGCTCATCTACATAATCAATATCAACACATTCACTAATACTGCGTGCTGTATGTCTTTTTAGTTGTTGATGCGAAGACAGTATTCCTGCTCCTGTGGATTTTGTTGTAGTGTTTGATGTTGTATTTTGTGGTTGTAATATAATATCACTAGATGTTTGTGATGTCGTTGGATCTTTTTTTTTTTTTTTGTAATGATTTTTTGTTTGTTCATTCAGTAGTATTAAACAGTCACAGACACACACAAAAATACATAGATATTATTATGATAATAATAGGCAGACAAATAGACAGTCAGGATTGTAGTCGTAGAAAGAAAATTCAATTTAATATTTTAAATATGCAATATGGAAAATGTTTTATTTAGTTGAAACGAATATAATTTCATTACACATGAGTGTGTTTTTTGAACTTAAGGGAATTGTATGCTGAATTTGTGTTCATTAGACATAGTTATAGAAAGCTATAAACTATGTACTATTAAACTTAATAATTAACAAGCAAAATGTTTGTAAATAATCATAATTCTATTGATATATGTATATGGTGAGATAACACTATTAATATGGAAAATAATTTCCCAAAAATCTGGCAATTTGTAAGTATGTATGTGTTAATGAAATATTAAATATATGTATTTGTATTAGATTTTAAGAAAATTGAAGATTTAATAAATCTTCGACAGGAAAATGTTTATTTTTTTATCAATTAATAAATTAGTTTTATTTTTTGTCAATTTATTTTTTGCTTTAGTACTTTATGATTCCTTTTGATTCTTCCCAGAAAAATTTTTGGAACTTGTTCAAAAAAAAACTAGTTCTAGAACGAGTGCAAAGAGAATGACTTCAGATTCTTCAAAAATAATCTTAGAGCTAGTGAGGTTGCCATTACTTCTGGAAGCCGTTCCTTTAGAAGTCATTTAGAATCAAAACAATGATTCTAAATGATTTCTAAAGAGTTTTCAAGGAACTAGTTCTCTGATACTAGTTATACATTGGTACTTGATTAGTTCAATGGAATGCATACTAGTTCCAAAACAACTTCTTAGAATGAAATTTAAAAAATTAAAAATTTATAAACTTATTTCTGTCAAAATAGAAAACTTATTCATATATATATTTCTGCATAAAACTGAACTATGAGGAATTAAAAAGTTCTATAATTAAATTGTACTAGGGCAATGGAATATTTTAACAGATTATATATAGGCTTTCTAAATAAAATTTGTACAGATCGTTAGTTTATTTGTTCTCTAGACCTTTTGGTTGTTTTCAGAAATGTTGGGTTTGTTCGGCTTGAGGTCTTTTCATTAAATAAATATTAAAAATTAAAAACTCTTTTTTGTTCTTAGTTTAATTAATATTTATTGTGGTTTCCAATATTTAGATCTTAATAATTTTGAACAGAAAACTCTAAAAGAAGAACTACTTTCAAACAAAGCGTATACGTTCTTTAAAGCTTTCCTAGAACTAGTTCCGTCGTTAACACATTCGAACATAAATCATTAATTAAAGAACTAGTTCCATAACCGTTCCAAAAACGAATGTCGAATCCATAATGCATCCTTAGAACCAGTTCCGAGGGTGACAATTTCGAACCAAAATTATTAGTCTCAACGCCAATACATTATATAACTAATTTTAGAACTAATAAAATTTTCCTTGGTTTTGATATTAACAACAATTTACTTTTTTATTAGATTTATGATGAAATATACTTTTCTTAAGAAATAAGTTGCGCAGAATCTGTTTCTTGCATTTCAGCAGCAAAACAAGTTTTCGAGATTTAGTGTTCTGAAGTTTGAAAAAAAGGTTTTTGAGACGTTGTAATAGGGTGAATACACCTTTATTTATACAATTTGTTGCATCATCGGAAAGTACGATATATTATAACTTCTTCCTTCTTCGAGATATTTGGCGATGGAGAAATTTTTAGGCCAGATTCGTATTCTGTGTAGCTCATTCCTTTAGAAAACTAAAGTTTTTGTTATATTCTTGAAATCGCGAATCGATATTGTTGCTTTTTAAATCTTGTAGATTGAGAATATTTGTTGAAAATTTCAACCCTTTTGCTCCTCTCATGTGATCCATATTGTGCTTTAAGCACACAGACAGATGGACATAGTTAAAAGCCAACAATCCAAAATATATATACTTGTGGCCATTGCCAAGCATTTAAAACGCTGGCCAACCTCTTAACAATAATTTAGCTTGTCGCAAAATTGCATTAAGATTAATATATATAAAATAATATTTCTAGAACTAGTACAAACAGAGGCACTTCAGTTTCTTGAATAACATTTATGGAATTATTGATGTTGCCTTTACATCTATTTCTATTGAACTTCTAAAGAGTTTATTACGAATTATACTAATTTTGGGAAGACTTTTAGGAACCAGTTCAATCTATAGATTCCATAAAACCGGTTCCAAAGGTGAGAAATTTGAAGAAAAATATATGAAAGGTGCGGTAATGGCAAAGAAGTTTATTTACACATGTAAATGAGGTATGAATATGGATTTTTTTCAGTAAAAACAATGTACCTCCAAAGTGTTTTGAAAGTTAAAGAAGGTGCCAGTTTTCAAGTATTTACCCCTATAGTCTAACAACATTTCTACCAAACTGTTAGCTTTATGTACTTATTTCTTTAGTTTAAATAAATTAATATTAAATGTTTAAAATTTGTTAATCATTATTAAACACGCTAACTTTAATAACTTTCATGGTCAGAACATATTTAGTTTTTTAAAGAATTTACAATTATTTCAAATTATTTGCAAAATTTATAATTTTAGTCAGTGTGTTAGTAGTTTATATATATTATCAATATAATAAGTAAATACCAACTAACTCTTACCTTGTTGCTCTTCAGTTTTATCAGACCCTTTCCTATAGTCATCTTCAAAACATTGCAAATTAAATATTTGTTGCTTAATAGTTCCCCTATGTCTTAGATAGTTAACATGTTTTAAGTTTTTATCATTCATAAGTTGTAAAAGTAAAGGAGCTAAATGAGGATTATTTTTCTTGTCTCTACTGTTTAAACCCTCTAGGGATTGCAGCATAGAGTTAATAACTTCTAAAGCAGCATTAATAATGGAATGTTGTGTTAAGGGTGTGGAGCTAACCAAATATAAACAATAATCATAAATTTCCAGCATTTGTCGAGCTTCTTCGGAATTTGTTAAATTTGTTGATTTATGGGATGAGAAAGTATCCTCATTATCATTGACATCCCAAGAGTAACCTTTGATAATTATAACCACTAGTTGACGTAGAAAACCTAAGATACCAATTATGGTATTGGTTTCATGGTCACGGAGTAAAATTTCTGGAAATAAAAAAAATTTAATTGAAAATAAAAGTAATTTACTTTTAATGCTTATATTAATATATACCTATAACTTTATTAAGAGCATATTTGGCCATTAAAGATTTATTGCAGGCATGTTCGATTAAATTTATGCAATTCTGTGCTGTACATCTTCTTTTAACAGCACATTCAGAGCCAATATTTTCTATGAAAACCTTTATAAAAAATTTAAAATTTATTATTATTTGCTGTAAAAGTAATGTTGTTTTTTTAATTTACCTCAAATAATTTACATGTCTCACTATCCGTTAATCCTTGTTGTATATGTTTGCCAAATTTCAATACAAACTCACTTAGAGTTTCTTGCAATAAAGTTTCTTTGCGCTTACTGATGACTTTCAAACAGGGCAACAAATTCTGGGCATACCACAGAACATTATGTTCACGTATTTGTGGTGCATAGTAACCAAAGATACGCAAACAAATGCGAAGAGATCTGAAAGAAATATAAAAAAATTGCCAAAAAGTATACTCTCTACTCTATTTCATAAAAACTTTTTAAAACTTTCTAAATTTCGATGTTATATTTGTAAAATTTAAAATTTTCACAAGTTCGAGGAGAACTACTTCAGATTCTTACCCCCTTATTCACAAACAAAATTTTTATTTTATAAAAGGTTTATAAACCTAATTTCCATACAAAATCTAATTTATAAACTGTTTATAAAATAAAAATGTTGTTTGTGAATAAGGGGGTTAAGCAAGAACCTTGGAACTAGTGATGGCATTGCTTGTTCCTCGGAACATAGTTATGGATCTAAAATACTTCTAAAGAGTTATCAAGAAACTAGTTCTTTGACACTTTGTAGTTAAACATTGGATTTAGTTCAATGGAACGCATACTAGTTCGGAAACAACTTCTTAGAATCAGTTATAAAAATGTGAAATATGTACATATATTTCTGCATACAACTGAACTATTAGGAATTGAAGAGATCTCTAATTGAATTGTACCGGTAGAATAGAAAGTATGTAAGTATGATTAAAGAACATTTTCCAGAACCGTTCGAAAGAACAAGTTTCTACTCCATAGCACTTCCCCACAACCAGTTTAATTTTGCAAGTTTTACAATAAATTGTTCACTTACTCCAAGTAAGTAAAATTATCTTTTCAAATTTATTCAAAATTAAAATTGCAATAGGTATCACCAACAGAAACTTTTTTATGATTTATATTATTTTAAATCTAAACTTTTTTAAATGTATACCAGCCTAATACGCATAAGCTATAATTATCTTTTTCCGCTAACATTAACCAACCATTATTTAAGAATTTATTCAACAGCTTAAAACAATTAAGTTATTTATAACCGGCTTTTGGTTTTTTTTTTAACACAATATGTTTACTTTCTAAACTTACCTCTGATTACCATTCCTCTTTATTTCGCCATATAAATCCATCAATATACGACTAACCTTAGTCTTTTCCAAAACACGAAATATTTTATTCAAATTCTCTTCGGCACTAATGCGTACCACTGAATCCAAATCCTCACAGAAAAGCAAAAGAATATTTACAGCTTTGCTGCAGAACGTGGCATAATTGAGGTGTGCCGCCATCACCGGTGATATGATACATTCCGAAATGCGTTGGAAGCAGGCAATTTTCTCTTTTTGGCTGCAATTGATTAATAAAACACATTAACATTATATATCTCAGGCTAGAAACACTCCCCATTTTTAAGAAAATATACACAATAAAGGTGATTAATTTCCATAAGCCCTCATTAAAATTGATTGTTTTTTTTTTTTTTTTGTTCACCTGCATTCTGTATTTCGCAATTGATCCACCACCTCGGTAAATGTATTCACAATATTAGTTTTATCCATGTTGTTGTACAAAAATGAATTTGTTTATTTCCTATGGTTTATGATTTTAATTGCATTTTTTCGGCTAGCGAATTTTTTTTAGCAAAAATGTTTTCACTTTTTTCTTTCTTTTGTTGCAATCTACGTTGTTTTTTCTGATTTTATTATTTTTTTTGTTTGTTTGCTGCCAGCTGACTGAGAAAAACAATGAAAAGTGGCCAGATTGTTAGTTTTGTTGTTAGCACTTGTTTGAATGATGTGTGTGTTGGGTGAGCACAATATGGTAACTTTTTAATGTGAGAAATAACAGGGTGTTGTCGATGAGTTTATTCTTTTAGAGTTTTACTGTTATTTTTGTAAAGTGAAAGTTTTGATTGTTTTTAATATGTTATAATAATTTGGAGAGATTTTATTTAAATTTATATAAAAAATAGTGAAAATTATGTATTTTTAGGGTATTTTCATAAAACCTAAGTCCTAAGTGACAAAAAAACTGTTTTTTAAACTTAAAAAAAGTAATTTGAGAATTTTTCAATATGTATTTTTCAAAAAAAAAATTAAGCAGTTTTTGTGTAATAAAATTGGCTAAATTTCGTAAGTCTTATAATTTCGAAATTCATCGAAAATAAGTTCGAATTGTCAAAAATTTTTTATAATTTCTGGTGATCTAATGACTACATAGACCAAAAAATGTTTAATCCAAAGATCAAAGTATACTTTTCTTAAGGATTGAGCATCGCTTAATCCGAATCTGATTTTCTTCATCTCATCAAGTTTTTGAGATATCGCGTCCTAAAAACTTCCCTTGTTGCCCATTTTTGAGACCTTGTAAACGCGGAAATGCACTTTCGTTCATAAAATATGTTATGTCGTCTGAAAGTCCAATCCGTCGACTTTCAATTAAAGGTTTAACCTCTGTCATATCTCTGTCATTCTCTGAGAAATCTTAAGTTAAATTTTGCATTTCGAAAATTTTTTCCCAAATAAAACTTTACAAATCCCCATAATTTAGAGATTATTTTAAACATAACTTTGACTTTTGAATGCAATTAAATTTTCAGACAATAGTCCAGTTCTTACCTTTATAATTTCCTTTACCTTAAAAAAAAAATTTATTTTTTTTTTTCATAATTTTTTATTTTATTTTTTTATTATTATTTCAAAAGCGCTCAATTCTATATAGATATACTGTTCATAAATTTACAATTTTTATTATTTATTTAAAATTTCTTTATAAAATACATACATAAGACCAAATTTTGGAATAGAAACTTAAAATACTAATCGTTAAAATTAATATTTTAATATAATTTTTTTTATTTTTTGTTTATTTAACTTAAGGCTTTAAAAACTATAAAAAAAAATTATTAAATCATTCCCCCAAAAAAAATTAGCATAAAAAATTATTGAAATTTTTGTTCTGTTTTACTAAAAATGATAATATGTATGAGTAAAACTAAAAACTTAAAAATTACACAAGAAATTATAGCAAAAGGGAGAAGATTTCTTTGTATTTTGTGTTTTTTTCCAAATAAAAGAAATAAAGAAATATTTAAATGATATTTGTTTATATATAAAATCTTTATATATAATAAAAAACACTAATCACAGTCCATTGGAGTGTTAATAAAAGCAATAGATAGAACAGTTTAGTTTGTAGAATTGGAAATATAAAGGGTTTAATAGAAAATAAAAACCCCGTTTGGAAAATTATGGAAATATTGTTGTATGTACAAAAAAAAAAAACCTAAACCTTAATTAAAAATTAATAATGAACTGGTTCTAAAGTAAGATGGTATAAAGAGTGATTTTGTGATTGTTTAATTTTTGAAAATTTCTTTGTTCAAAATAAGTAAAATGATGATTAAATATCAGATGAATACAATGAGTTTAAAAGACAAAAAATTATATTTAATTTTTTTTCTACTTTTTTCCAACCGCAACGAAAAAATTATAAAACACAATGCACCTTAAACTAAATACTACTTATAAACATTTTTTTATAATATAATTAATAATTATAATAATTATTTTTGCTTGTTTTTTTTTAATAAAAATTAGGACTTGTTAACTTAAAAAGTAATATAAAAGAAAATTACTCTAATTTTTTGTTGTTGTTTTGTAGGAGTTTTTTAAACATTATTTTTTACAAAGTTTTGTGGTTGTTTTTTTTCTTATAAAAAGGCTTTTGAAACATAAATATGAAATGAAAGTTTTTGCAAGAAAAAGTAAGGATCGTAGTTAGAATAGTTTAAAAGAAATCGTAGGATCGTAGTAATGAAAAGAGAAATAAGTTAAATAAACTTAAAAAACAATTAACAAAATAAAAGTAAAATAAAATATGAATTCGCCAATAGATAGTTTTTTCTATGTTAAAAGTTACACAAAAGCCTTTCAACATATTAAAAAAAAAGTGAATAAAGATCGTAGAAGATCGTTTAGCTGTTAAACGAAATTAACCTCGTTTCGAACGCAGCACCAATAATGTTAAAATTAAGAAACCTAAAATCCAGCCTAAAGTACTAAGGAAACCAAAATACACAGAAGTTTCCACAATTTCCCAACCTCGTGTCAATATAGAACGCAGTGACGAGGTGGCCAAGGTCAAAGGCAGGCACAGGGATATATATCTATAAAAAAAAAAACGGAAAATAACAAATTAATTTTAAAATTCTTAAAAATTGTATATATCTGCAACTTACTTTAACACTATGGGCATACCCTCAATGGGCCAAATAACACCCGACAGCAATAGCGTGGGATAGAAAGAACCCAATGCCAGTTGTATGGCATTACGTTCCAATTCGCATACCGATGATATAAGAAAACCAAAGCACATACCACACAAACCCTGCAGCAGTGTGAGAACAATAACCCAAATTAAATCACCATTATTGGTGACACCAAATACCACCAACATAAAGACAAGCACCAATGTCGTTTGACCACACATGACCACAAATTGTGTTATAACATGAGAGAAGAGAATTTCTGCAGGTGTTACACCAGCTACCCAAGAACGATCCAAGAGACCCTGAAAGTACAATACAAACATAAAAAATTTTGAAAATTTTTTTATATTTCAATCTTTACTCACCTCAGTACGTTCAATAATCAAAGCCGATGATGTTAAAGCGACAGCCAAGAAGAAAACAATGCTGAAATATAATAAAATTTATGAAAATGTCTATTTCTTATAAAAAATCAGCAAAATAAAAAAACTCACGTTAAAATAACACCAGGTGCCACAAAGTCGGTAAACGAAGGATTCATAGTGCCATAAATGGGTTCCTTAAATTGTATGGGTACATCACCCAATTTGGGATTATTACCACATTGATCTAAAAGACCCATAGCAAAGTCACGATAAGCTAGCTGAATATCACGATTTAACATAACACCAATCTGTTGATTAGACATATCAAGCCAAACCTTAATTTCAGACTGATCAATGGTTTCATCATCGGAATCGCGACCTTTATAAAGAAAAAAAACTTATTAATGTAGGCGATTAAAAACATATATAATCAAGAAATCCTTACCTAAGGCAGCTCTGGCGGTAAAAGCATCTGTAAAGTTTTCCGTTATATAAATAGCACCCCAGGCATTGCCCAGTCTAACCGCTTCTTTTGCATCCTCCAGATCGGAATAAAACGTTTTCTCCACACTATGATTTAGATGATTCAGATAGCGACAGCCCAAGTTAGTAAAGTGACAACCATCTTCCCAATAACAGATTTCCTGAAAAATTTCATTAAAAGTTAAAATTTTATTTTGATTATAATTGATATAATAAACTCACCGTATTATTCATTTCATGATTAACAATAGCCAAATTTAAACCGGTAGGATCGCGACCTATAGCCAAACAAAACAGTATAACTTGCATAACGGGCAGGGCAAAGATGAACAACATTACTCCCACATTACGCCACATGCGCAACATATTCTTTGTTAATAAGGCCTTGATTTTACCCTTGGAAGTTACCTTTAAGAGAAGTTTTTTAATTAGAATTTGTTTTTGTTATAAAGTTTAGGGATTTTAGGAACTTACTCTACATAAATTGGCATAACAATCTTGACAACTTTCTTCATCATTTGGGTTATTCTTTTTCATGGGTGGATCGTAGGGTTCTTGATTTAACTGAGGCCATAATTTGGGAAGGAAAAAATAAATAGTATATATTATTAGGGGAATAAATTAACAAAATTTTAGACAATTTTCTTTAGACATTTATAACAAAATTTATGTCTTAACACAAATTTTTATAAACATTTTTATCTTAAGATAAATTTCTATAGATATTTATAACTTAAGAAAGATTTCTACAAAAATTTATATCTTCAGATAAATTTCTATAAAAATTTATATCTTGAGATAACTTTCTAAAGAAAATTTATATCTTGACATAGATTTTTAGCAAAATTTATATCTTGAGAGAATTTTTGTTGTTGTTGTTACTAATTTAATACTACATTTTTCAACAAACCGTATAAATGGATCCATTAGTATCGTTGATTAAAACTTCTTTGCTCTGATGGAAATTTAAGCCCACAACGCCGCCTTCTTGACTGGAACTAGGTTTATCCATTTTGCTGCCGAAACCCATGGCATGTAATGAAATATTATTACTGTTAATTGTTTTGTTTTTTTATTCCAAACAATTATTAATTTTAAGAACAATTAACAATCACAAGACAACAATGATTACAAACACCCAAATCAGACAATATGATCATCATTATGTTATACAAAAAAAAGAGACATTAAATATGGCAAGACAAACACAGGATGTGAACAAAATGTTATAACAAATTTATGTTATATAAAGATTTTTTTCGAAAGTTATTTTTTGAATAATGAATTTTTTTAATTTTAGGCAGGTGTTTTAATGAAATTTTGTTTTTAATTTAGATTAACATTTTTTTGATCAATTAAGAATAGTAGTGGTTGGGTGTTGATGGTGGTAGTTGTAGTAGTAGAGTTTTGTTTTGGTGTTGGATGCAAACAAAATTAAAAAAAAAAATGAAAATAAAACCAATAAGAAAAATAAAAATTAATTTTAAAAAATCATGCTTTTTAAATGAAATTAAAATAAAAAAAAAACATTAAATTAAAGATTAAAGTTTAGCAAACTATTAACACACCTGAAGTTAACCTGAGATATATCGCCCTTTTGTGACTGAATGCGGGATAATTTTAAAAATACTTCTTCTAAACTGATACATTTGTACATGGATAGTAAAACGCTGGGTGATTCTTCGGCCAATAGATTACCAGAACGCATTAAACCTATCTGCAAATTCCACATAAAAATTGACAAAATTAGAAAATAAATTCAAAACTATTCTGTTGATGCTTCCACTCACCGTATGCGCTTGTCTGGCCTCTTCTATATAATGTGTTGTGATTATAACTGTTTTCTGTCCCGATTTTGTTATATGAACCAAATGATTCCATATACTCTGTCTTAGCAGAGGATCTACACCAACTGTGGGTTCATCTAAAATCAATAATTCCGGATCGTGCATTAGTGCCACAGCAAACGATACACGTCTCTGTTGGCCACCACTCAAATTCTTTACTAGACGTTTCTCCGATGGTAAATCCAAGAAATTCAACAAGAAATGTAAACGTTCTACGATCTCTTTCGTTTCCATGCCAAATATCCAACCGAAATACATCATTGTTTCGCGTATGGAAAATTCACCATAGAGTGCTATTTCTTGTGGCATATAGCCGACACGTTTGCCAGGTACACCAGAGCCAGGAGTACCGGGTTTGCCACCCAATACGAAAATTTCACCAGAATCGAGTCGACGACGGCCCACTATGCAGGAGAGCAATGTTGTTTTACCACAACCCGAAGCGCCTAGAAGACCATAACTAAAAGGGAAAAAAGAGAAAGCAAATAGAGGATTTAATTAATAAAATGGTGAGAGTACTAAAAGTTTTATAAAAACTTTATTAACGGAAACCTAAAGATAAAGTTTTGAAATAGTTTTGAAAAAATTTAAAAATTGTTATTTACTTAAGATTAGAATTAATATTGTTTTCCAAAAACAAACTTTTTAAATGATTCTTTTTAAAAATATTAATTTCCATCTTTATCTTAATGTTCCTTAATTTTGATGATAATTTGAAATACAAAATATGCGGAACCAATAGATCTGTTAAACAAACAAGAAATCTGGGAAAACCAAAGACAATAATCCAGAATTTAATTGTTTTGTATTGAAAAGGGGTATCTGAAACCTGCCAATTAAAAATAAAATTAATTAATGTAAATAAAAATTTATTAACTTATTCAACCCCATTAAACCAGTTTTTAAAATGTTTATTTTGAAACAATAAACAATTTCAAGAACAAATTAATTAAACAAAAAGACCGAATAAAAGTATGGTTCAATTGGATTGCACAAATTCGCTACAGCTAAAAGTTGTAAACAATTTTTTACTAGTCTATAGTCTAGTCTATAGTTTAGTCTATACTCTAGTCTATAGTCTAGTCTATACTCTAGTCTATAGTCTAGTCTATAGTCTAGTCTATAGTCTAGTCTATAGTCTAGTCTATAGTCTAGTCTATAGTCTAGTCTAGTCTAGTCTATAGTCTAGTCTATAGTCTAGTCTATAGTCTAGTCTATAGTCTAGTCTATAGTCTAGTCTATAGTCTAGTCTATAGTCTAGTCTATAGTCTAGTCTATAGTCTAGTCTATAGTCTAGTCTATAGTCTAGTCTATAGTCTAGTCTATAGTCTAGTCTATAGTCTAGTCTATAGTCTAGTCTATAGTCTAGTCTATAGTCTAGTCTATAGTCTAGTCTATAGTCTAGTCTATAGTCTAGTCTAGTCTAGTCTATAGTCTAGTCTATAGTCTAGTCTATAGTCTAGTCTAGTCTAGTCTATAGTCTAGTCTATAGTCTAGTCTATAGTCTAGTCTATAGTCTAGTCTATAGTCTAGTCTATAGTCTAGTCTATAGTCTAGTCTATAGTCTAGTCTATAGTCTAGTCTATAGTCTAGTCTATAGTCTAGTCTATAGTCTAGTCTATAGTCTAGTCTATAGTCTAGTCTATAGTCTAGTCTATAGTCTAGTCTATAGTCTAGTCTATAGTCTAGTCTATAGTCTAGTCTATAGTCTAGTCTATAGTCTAGTCTATAGTCTAGTCTATAGTCTAGTCTATAGTCTAGTCTATAGTCTAGTCTAAAGTCTTGTCTATAGTCTAGTCTATAGTCTAGTCTATAGTCTAGTCTATAGTCTAGTCTATAGTCTAGTCTATAGTCTAGTCTATAGTCTAGTCTATAGTCTAGTCTATAGTCTAGTCTATAATCTAGTCTATAGTCTAGTCTATAGTCTAGTCTATAGTCTAGTCTATAGTCTAGTCTATAGTCTAGTCTAGTCTATAGTCTAGTCTATAGTCTAGTCTATAGTCTAGTCTATAGTCTAGTCTATAGTCTAGTCTATAGTCTAGTCTATAGTCTAGTCTATAGTCTAGTCTATAGTCTAGTCTATAGTCTAGTCTATAGTCTAGCTCTATAGTCTAGTCTATAGTCTAGTCTATAGTCTAGTCTATAGTCTAGTCTATAGTCTAGTCTATAGTCTAGTCTATAGTCTAGTCTATAGTCTAGTCTATAGTCTAGTCTATAGTCTAGTCTATAGTCTAGTCTATAGTCTAGTCTATAGTCTAGTCTATAGTCTAGTCTATAGTCTAGTCTATAGTCTAGTCTATAGTCTAGTCTATAGTCTAGTCTATAGTCTAGTCTATAGTCTAGTCTATAGTCTAGTCTATAGTCTAGTCTATAGTCTAGTCTATAGTCTAGTCTATAGTCTAGTCTATAGTCTAGTCTATAGTCTAGTCTATAATCTAGTCTATAGTCTAGTCTATAGCCTAGTCTATAGTCTAGTCTATAGTCTAGTCTATAGTCTAGTCTATAGTCTAGTCTATAGTCTAGTCTATAGTCTAGTCTATAGTCTAGTCTATAGTCTAGTCTATAGTCTAGTCTAGTCTAGTCTATAGTCTAGTCTATAGTCTAGTTTATAGTCTAGTCTATAGTCTAGTTTATAGTCTAGCTTATAGTCTAGCCTATAGTCTAGTTTATAGTCTAGTCTATAGTCTAGTCTATAGTCTAGTCTATAGTCTAGTCTATAGTCTAGTCTATAGTCAAGTCTATAGTCTAGTCTATAGTCTAGTCTATAGTCTAGTCTATAGTCTAGTCTATAGTCTAGTCTATAATCTAGTCTATAGTCTAGTCTATAGTCTAGTCTATAGTCTAGTCTATAGTCTAGTCTATAGTCTAGTCTATAGTCTAGTCTATAGTCTAGTCTATAGTCTAGTCTATAGTGTAGTCTATAGTCTAGTCTATAGTGTAGTCTATGCAATTTTATGTTTTATTAGATTATTTTAAAAATTGCCATACCAAAATCTCCATGTTGTAGTTATTTAATATTAACTAATATTTTTCGGTTCTATAACAATAGTATTAAAAATAAAATATATTTTTATAAGTGTGCAATATGTAGATAATCGCTCTAATTACAATCGCATGTCTAAACACCTTTGAACGGTTTTGAAATCTCATAGAAAAAACCACAATAACAAAAACAAAACTAGTTATAACAATAACGAAAAAAAATTTATAAATATAAAAATTGCATAAAATCAAATTAAAAATAAATACCAAATAAAAAGTAAAATTTATTTTTAAAAATTATTTGTAAAAAAAAATCTTATGAAATCAAATAAGAATTAAGGTTAAAAATACATATTAAAAAATATTTAATTGTTAGCAGATGTTACAAACAAATGTCTTTATACTAAAAGCCAACTAAACGGAAAAAAATGAATGGAAGTGAAATAACGCCATATTTTCAGATTTATAATTTTGTCATAATATTGTATGGTTGGTTTGTATTTGAAAAGACTTTTTTTCTGCAAATTGTATAACAACAACATTGTTGAATTATTTAGCATGTTGCTAATAAATTTTAATATTGTTGTACAATATGTAACCATAACTCTCTAGTATATTGTTATTAAAGACTTTCATTTTAATCTTAGTCCACCAACTAATAAAAAAAGAAAATAACCAAAATTTCTCACTGTTTGTTATTAAACAATAACAACATTTATTTTTATGCCATTTTTATCAGTTTCGTTTTTTTTTCTGGGAAAAATATACAAATATTGAGTAATATTCAAAAAGTTTAAATAATTGTTCCCACGATATAAGAGACTATTGTATTCAGAAAAAGAGTTTCTTTTTTGTTGGCAAAATTATCTAATATTTGTTTTATTTTCTTTTTTTAAAAAAATATTTAAGTATTATTTTACTAATTTTTGTATTTAATTATTTTAATATATAAACAATTATACAAATTATTTCTAATTTCAACATTTAATTATAGTTTGCTTATGGAGGAAAATATGATAACGTTTTGTTAAATTCTAATTAAATATTTAGCTAATTGTGTGAATTAAACTTAGCTTGACGATTTTTTTTTATTAAATATTTTTAAAAAATGTTTCATTCTTTATGTAAATTATAGAGGGAAAAACTACGCTATAAAATGACATTTAAAACAGCTGATTCTTTATGATCAAAAACTCAGTACACTTAGAAAACTCAATGGAATGTTTACTTAACTAACTAACTACCTAACTAGCTAAACTAATAACTAACTAACTAACTACTAACTAACTAACTAACTAACTAACTAACTAACTTACTAAATAACTTAACTAAACTAACTAACTAACTCAACTAAATAACTAACACTAACTAACTACTAACTACTAACTAACTAACTAACTAACTAACTAACTACTAAAACTCACTAACTAACTAACTACTAACTACTAACTAACTAACTACTAACTAACTAACTAACTAACTAACTAACTAACTAACTAACTAACTAACTAACTAACTAACTAACTAACTAACTAACTAACTAACTAACTAACTAACTAACTAACTAACTAACTAACTAACTAACTAACTAACTAACTAACTAACTAACTAACTAACTAACTAACTAACTAACTAACTAACTAACTAACTAACTAACTAACTAACTAACTAACTAACTAACTAACTAACTAACTAACTAACTAACTGACTGACTGACTGACTGACTAACTAACTAATTCTTTCTTGGACGTTAATGAACTGAATTTCATGGACTTATAGTTTCCATTTTTAATATCAAATAAACGGATCTAGGCGTAAAATCATCCCCCCCTTCTCTGCCCGTTTATATCCTATCTTTTTAGCATCTCATAAGGACATAAACATTAATATTTTTTTGGGTCTAAATTTAATACACAATAATACGGTAAGAAGAAAGGAATGTCTGTGTTAAAGGTGAGTAGAAACAGCTTTTAAAATAAAATTGATTTGTTTTAAAACAAAACTGCTGATAAGGTCTATTAAAAGTAATAATGACGAATCATTGAATGTTTGCAATACACAAATCTTGGAAATATGAAATCACAGTTAATTTGCTAAGGTTTCCAATAAGAATTTAAACTAATCTTATCAGATATAACTGCTTAAATACTTTCAAAGGCCTTTAAATTATAAGCTATAAACCTTTGATTTTTTTTTTTCGAAAAACATTTACTAAAACCCATAAATTGCCTTAAATAGTTTTAATATCTTCCAAAAAAAATAAATATTATGAATGAATTAATGATAAACCGAATAAACAATAAATGACAACATTAGCATATAAATTGCACATCATTATTTTGTCTACTATTCATAGGCAATTAATTTTAATAACAAAAAAAAACTAAGTTTATACAAATATTAAGGTGTATGTAAAATATCATGTTGACACATTTAAAGGTCAATGCGATCAATTAGCAAATAAATTTTGATTTTATTTTTTAATAAATAAACTGATGTGACAACTTTAAAGGAGTAGCAAACATATTTTTTGGGATTACAGAGAACAAAATAATCGTTTAAATTAAAAAAATATATATATGTATATATATGGACTAAGGTGTGCTTGCTGATCAGCTTGACTATATAAATTGTATTCCGTGGGCCACTGTATTGACAGAAAGGAGAAAATCTGGACTGCTATTGCTCATTTTCATTGTCGACACAAAATTTCAAACATAAAGTTAATATCGGTTGGTCCATTAGACTATAGACTAGACTATAGACTAGACTATAGACTAGACTATAGACTAGACTATAGACTAGACTATAGACTAGACTATAGACTAGACTATAGACTAGAATATAGACTAGACAATAGACTAGACTATAGACTAGACTATAGACTAGACTATAGACTAGGCTATAGTTTATACAATAAAATAGACTATAGACTAGACTATAGACTAGACTAGACTATAGACTAGACTATAGACTAGACTAGACTATAGACTAGACTATAGTCTAGACTATAGACTAGACTATAGACTAGACTATAGACTAGACTATAGACTAGACTATAGACTAGACTATAGACTAGACTATAGACTAGACTATAGACTAGACTATAGACTAGACTATAGACTAGACTATAGACTAGACTATAGACTAGACTATAGACTAGACTATAGACTAGACTATAGACCAGACTATAGACTAGACTATAGACTAGACTATAGACTAGACTAAAGACTAGACTATAGACTAGACTATAGACTAGACTATAGACTAGACTAAAGACTAGACTATAGACTAGACTATAGACTAGACTATAGACTAGACTAAAGACTAGACTATAGACTAGACTATAGGCTAGACTATAGACTAGACTATAGACTAGACTATAGACTAGGCTATAGACTAGACTATAGACTAGACTATACACTAGGCTATAGACTAGGCTATAGACTATAGACTAGACTATAGACTAGACTATAGACTAGACTATAGACTAGACTATAGACTAGACTATAGAGACTATAGACTAGACTATAGACTAGACTGTAGACCAGACTATAGACTAGACTATAGACTAGACTATAGACTAGACTATAGACTAGACTATAGACTAGACTATAGACTAGACTATAGACTAGACTATAGACTAGACTATAGACTAGACTATAGACTAGACTATAGACTAGACTATAGACTAGACTATAGACTAGACTATAGACTAGACTATAGACTAGACTATAGACTAGACTATAGACTAGACTATAGACTAGACTATAGACTAGACTATAGACTAGACTATAGACTAGACTATAGACTAGACTATAGACTAGACTATAGACTAGACTATAGACTAGACTATAGACTAGACTATAGACTAGACTATAGACTAGACTATAGACTAGACTATAGACTAGACTATAGACTAGACTATAGACTAGACTATAGACTAGACTATAGACTAGACTATGGACTAGACTATAGACTAGACTATAGACTAGACTATAGACTAGACTATAGACTAGACTATAGACTAGACTATAGACTACTATAGACTATAGACTAGACTATAGACTACTATAGACTATAGACTAGACTATAGACTAGACTATAGACTAGACTATAGACTAGACTATAGACTAGACTATAGACTAGACTATAGACTAGACTATAGACTAGACTATAGACTAGACTATGACTAGACTATAGACTAGACTATAGACTAGACTATAGACTAGACTATAGACTAGACTATAGACTAGACTATAGACTAGACTATAGACTAGACTATAGACTAGACTATAGACTAGACTATAGACTAGACTATAGACTAGACTATAGACTAGACTATAGACTAGACTATAGACTAGACTATAGACTAGACTATAGACTAGACTATAGACTAGACTATAGACTAGACTATAGACTAGACTATAGACTAGACTAGACTAGACTATAGACTAGACTATAGACTAGACTATAGACTAGACTATAGACTAGACTATAGACTAGACTATAGACTAGACTATAGACTAGACTATAGACTAGACTATAGACTAGACTATAGACTAGACTATAGACTAGACTATAGACTAGACTATAGACTAGACTATAGACTAGACTATAGACTAGACTATAGACTAGACTATAGACTAGACTATAGACTAGACTATAGACTAGACTATAGACTAGACTATAGACTAGACTATAGACTAGACTATAGACTAGACTATAGACTAGACTATAGACTAGACTATAGACTAGACTATAGACTAGACTATAGACTAGACTATAGACTAGACTATAGACTAGGACTATAGACTAGACTATAGACTAGACTATAGACTAGACTATAGACTAGACTATAGACTAGACTATAGACTAGACTATAGACTAGACTATAGACTAGACTATAGACTAGACTAGACTAGATTAGACTAGACTATGGACTTGACTAGACTTGACTAGACTAGACTAGACTAGACTAGACTAGACTAGACTAGACTAGACTAGACTAGCCTAGACTAGACTAGACTACAGATTAGATTAGACTATAGATTAGACTAGACTATAGACTAGACTGTAGATTAGACTAGACTATGGACTAGGCTATAGTCATCTGCATGTATTTGCATGTCATGTCAAATTTAATTGTTGTTCACTTATTAAAACTAATTCCTGTTTTAGAAACACTTTGTATTTAAGTACTTTTCCACTTTAATAAGTCATTTCTTGGAGAATGTCCTTAAATTAAATAAATTTAAAAAAAAATCCAATAATGCTCTCAAGGTTATGAAACTTTTTTATTCATAGCTTAACTTGATGTTTAAATAAACCGCAAAAACAAAATTGTAAAAGTCGTCTTATATTGATCGGTTATAAGCAATAAACAAATAACTCGAAAATGAAACTTTTTGAAAGAACAGAAAATATTATATTTTTATCACCAACTTTTATAAAGACTTCGTTAAATATTTTAATCTTAAGACGACTTAGGTGATTATTGCTTGTAATCTTTGTTATAAAAACTACATAATGAAGCGAAAACAATGTAAAGTTAAGCAGCAAAAGGCATAAAAATTCCTAAACGAACAAGAAATTTTCCACTGCAACTTATGCATTTTATTCTCAGGAATAAACAAAAAAAAACTAAAATGAAAACAAATTGTAATATTTCCTGTTGCCCAATAGCAAATTTATAAAGAAATAAAAAAACTGGTTTTTAAAGCTAAAAAATTACAAATAGAGATAAAGCACAAAAAAAGCTAAAGGAATAATACTGGCCACGACATATAGGAAACTTTTTTAAAAAGAGAATGACTAATTTTAATAAAAAATAAAAAACTTTATGTATTGTTAAAGGTAAAAAGGGTAAAAAAATAATAATAATTAAAAAAACAACAATAATAATAATAATAATTTAAATAATTACTTACATTGTGCCCTTTGGTACTGTCATATTCAAGTTGTTTAAAACTTGATTTGCGTTTTTCTTTTTGCCATACGCTTTAAAGGCATGACGTACTGAGACGGCGGCTTGGGAATTACGTTGCCACTGATTTGGTGCTATTGTTCCGCCATCATTATTTGTGGCCATAACTGGATCGGAAGAACTGCAAATATTATAAAAAACACATCAATATTTATTAATAAATGCAAAACAACAAAAAAATCACTTTAAACCAAATAGAAAGGCTAAAGTTGTTATTTAAATACAATTGCCAAAACAAGTTTAAATCAAATATAAAAAAACGTGCTTATTTTTCTTAATTTTTAAAAATACATAAATTCATTAATAAAAAAAACCTATTTACTTCCCAAATAAAAATATTTTTTTTATTTCACTTACAAAATTTTTCAACATTATTGTAACTCTCCCCCCCTTTGATGATTGATCAATTTATGTTTTAAACATATTTGAGAGAGTGAGAGACATACTTAAAAAACTAGTTCAAGGTCACGGTTAAATTTTTTAAATTAAACACATGAACCCAAATCGAACAAAAACCAAATGCTTCTTCTGCTCATATGCAAATCATTAAACAACAAAAAACTCAAAAACCCAACAAATGTGTATAATAAACATCAATAAATATAATCGATGTTAAAGTCAAACTAAACCATGCCACCATATTAATACATTATGAACTTAAACTACAATCAATTTTAGTTTTTTCGTTTATAAAATATTTAAATTTAAATAACTGCATAAATTATAGTTTTAAACTTAATTGTCAAATTTAGTTTTTGTTTTTGTCTAACACTTGTTTAAATATGATCTGACCAAATTTGTTTTAAAGACCACATATTCATTTGTAATTAAATAATGCTTTTGTCATTTGGACTTCTTGTTTCCATTTGTGTTTAAAATGGGATTTTTTAAATCAAAAGATCGTTTATCTATAAAAGATCATTTAGTGTTGTTGAGGTAGGTTTAGAAATGTTGTAATAGAAATATTTAATGTTATGTAGGTGGAAATCCGTTTAAGTTTATTATAACATTAGACTGCTACAAATGATATAGAGACAGAATATAGTTAAGTCTACAGTTTAATATATATGTACATAGTTCCGACTTTAGTCTATACTATACCACTGACTATGGTTAAGAATACTGTACAATATATAGTCCAGACTATAGACTATAGTCTAGTTCAGGATAGGCCAGACTATAGTCCAGGCTATAGTTCACACTATTACCCAGACTATTGATTAGAAATTAGTCCAGACTATAGAACCGATTATAGTTCAGATTATATACTCCAGACTACAGTTGATACTATATTCTAGACTATAACATACACTATATTTCAGATTATATTCTGGATTACAGGTAAAACTATAGCCCAGACTATAGGCCAAACTATAGAATAGACTATAGTACAGTCAAGACTATAGTCTAGCCTATACTTCAGACTAGAGACCATACAGTACTCCAGACTATAGCCTAGACTAAAGTTAAGATTCTATCCTAGACTATAGTTCAGTACAATATATAGTTCCTACTATAATCTAGACTATGGTCATGACCATAGTTCAGACTACAGTACAATATATAGTCCGGACTATAGTTCAGAGTCCAGACTATACTCTAGATAGACCACACTATAGACTAGACTATAGTCCAGATTATACATCTGACCATCAGTATAGTCCAGACTATATTCCAGAACTATATTCTGGACTATAGTCCAGAACTATATTCTGAACTATAGTCCAGAATATAGTCTAAACTATAGTTCAGATTGTATTCTGTAGTTATGACTATAGTTTCGATCATAGTTCAGACTATAGTCTAAACTATAGTTCAGATTGTATTCTGTAGTTAAGACTATAGTTCTGGCTATAGCTTAGACTATAGTTCAGATATATTCTAAATTATAGTTCAGATTATATTCTGGACTATAGTCCAGACTATAGTCTAAACTATAGTTCAGATTGGATTATGTAGTTATGACTATAGTTTAGATCATAGTCCAGACTATATATTATAATTCAGACTATAGTGCAGACCATGGACTAGACTATAGTTCAGACTCTAGTTCATACCATAGCCCGATACTCCAGACAATAGTCTATACTACTGACTAAAGTCAAGACTATAGTGCAGGCTATAGTCCAGATTATAGGTTCAGATTGAATTCTAGACTATAGTTTAGAGTATAGTTCAGACTGTAATCCAGACTATAGTTCATACTATAATACGGATTTTACTTCACACTATAATCCAGACTATAGCTCAGACTATAATATAGACTATTTAGATTGTAGTTCAGACTATAGTCTAAACTATAGTTCAGGTTCTTATCTGTATTTAAGACTATAGTTCTGGCTATAGCTTAGATTATAGTACAGAGTATAGCATAGACTATAGTCTAAACTATAGTGCTGATCATGGACTAGGACTATAGTTCAGACTCTAATTCATACCATAGCCCGATACTCTAGACTATAGTTTTATACTACTGACTAAAGTCGAGACTATAGTGCAGGCTATAGGCCACACTATAGTCCAGATTATAGGTTCAGATTGAATTCTAGACTATAATTCAGAATATAGTCTTGACTATAGTTCAGACTATAATCCGGACTTTACTTCACACTATAATCCAGACTATAGCTCAGTCTATAATCTAGACTATAGTTCATACTATAGTCTAAATATAGTTCATGTTATAATCCAGATTTTAATCGAAACTATACTCAAGATTATAGTCCAGGACGATAGTTAAGACTAATAATATAATCCAGATGAAAGCCCCGAATTATAGTTCAGACTATAGTACAAACTATTGATCAAAAAATAGGCGGGACTATAGTAAATGTTGTAGTACATTCAAAGTCTAGACTGTAGTTTAAAATATAACCCAGGCCTATGCTGATAATATAGTGATAAACTACAGTTAAGCCTATATATATAACAGACTATAGATTATTCAATAGTTATGACTATAGTTTACTAATGCTATTATGTTTTTTTTAAATACTTCAAACTAAAAATTCTTTAGTAAAATTTTCCTATTTCTACTAACTTTAATATGCAAGTTGCTTTTTTTGCATATTAAACTTATTTAAAAAAAATATTCTATTTAATTCTTTCTTGCAATCCATAAACGAGATGCATTTTGATAAAGATAAATACGTTCAGCAATAGACATGTGCAAGCATTCAACATTGAATGATTAATGAATGAACAATACATTGTTTTATAAAAAAAAAAAAAACAGAAAAATAAATATATAAGAAAATATTTTATGTTATCTATAAACAACTATATAAAGTAAAAAACAATTACATTGCACATTAAGTGTAGAGTTTTCAATAGAAAAAATTTTAAAAAATTATATAAAGTTTTCTTTATAGAATAATAAATAGAAAATCTGAACTATAGACAATAAGTAAAAATACTAGAATATAATACAACGTATGTGGAATATTTGTATTAAATTGTTGAAAATAATTAAACATATTTTTTTTAATATTAGTTCTCAATTTACTAATATTAATTTACTAATATTACTGTTTAATATTGTTCAAGTACAACTTAGGTATTTTGTTTATAAATATGCATTTAATATTAAGCAGCTTAATAAGAGCTAATTAAAAAACTTTAATTAAAAAACAAAAGACTTAAGACACAAGCATATTAATGTTGACAACAAGTGTGTGTGGAAGTAAGATAAAAAATTGCATAAAATATAATAAATACAGCAACAACGTCTAGTCTTCTTTCTATATAAAAAATTAATATAACTACAAACTATGTATGTATATATTTAGTATATAATTATACATTAAAAAATATAAATAATAATGAATAATTCAAAATTTTTCTAACTATTTGTAAGAAAAATCCTAAAGAATTATTAACAAATAATAAATAATTTATTTACAATTTCCTTCATTGAATGACTTTTTTTGTTTGATATACACATATCCACCGTAAAAAAAAGTATTACAATTTATTGTTCATTTGGTATTATCGTCATTGGATATACATACGTCAAAGTTTTTCAATTGTTAACAAATAAACAAATGCATATATATAATTAACGTTCAATAATTAACATTTAATAAAGTTCATTTCTTAAGTCTTTTGTTTTGCAACAGCTACAATAACAACAAAAACAAACTGACGTCTCAGGGCATTTTAACTTTGTCTGTCTTATTTTTGAGCATTCCATCGAAAGTACCTACAACAATTTACTTAATTGCATGACAAATTATTAACGAAAATTTCTTAAAAATTTAGAAATTTTAAATAAAAATTGTTATTGCATTATTTTGTTTTAAAGTACAGCTTTAAAACAAGTTTTCTTAAAATATGCAACGACCTGCTTTTATTTTTAGAATTAATAATGAAATAATTTGATAAATTGTATACATTTTTTTTTTTGTAATAAATTATAAATATTGTGAAATTTTGTTGAGAAACAATCAAAAGTCATTAATTAGGATTATTTAGCTTTTTGTCAAAGACTAGTTGAGTTTAAAAAGGAAATATTGTTGCAAATTGCTTACTTAAACTTGGAAATATTATTGTTTATTTTAAAAGGTCAAAGATTCGGAACTTTTATAATGATTACTCATTAAACACAAATTAGATTTAGTCTGGAATATACTTTGATCAATAATTATAGAGTGAAGTAAAGCCTGTACTACAATTTAGACCATATGGTGGTCAACAGTCTGGTCTATAGCCAGTACTATTGTCTGGGTTATAGCCTAAAACTAGGGTCTTTTAATATAATCTAGGCTATGGTCTGGACTCTACTCTAATCTATAGTCTGCACTGTGGTTTGTACTAAACTATGGTCGAACTATAGTGTGGACCACAATCTGAATTATAGCTAGAACCGTCGACTATTGTCTCTACTATAGTCTAGACCATAGTCTGACTTATTGTCTGTACTATAGCAGTTACTTTAATCTCAATTATATCCTGAACTATAGTCTGAACCATAATCTATACGATTCTCGAAGTATAATCTAGACATATTTTAACTATAGTCTTGACTATAATATGGACTGTAATCTAATCTATAGCCTGGACTATAGTCAGGGCTACAGAGTATGCTATAGTCTGGACTAGAAGAAACTACAGCCATA